ATGAATTATTACATTTGTTGCCGAACGATAGAAAATTCCTTGGTTATTTATTCAAGACAAAAGCCAGTTCTACTTCGCTCAGTCGTGCCATATGCGTACGTTTACAAACTTCCAAAGCAATCAATTACACGCTACACATCTGATATGACTAACGAATGAATGGAAGTGAATCAACGGGATTTTTAGCGAGCGCATTAATCATTCCGTTTAGTGCGTTCTTTTATTTGGCGGTAGCTGTAATTTTAGTTCCTATTTTTGCGTCCACGTGCGAAACGGTGCTATAGTATCGCCGGTGACCGTCACGGCATTCAACGTGGTAATAAAAAAAAAAACAACGCAAAAAAAAAAACAATTCCAACGTACGATCTTGAACGCGTTCACCTGTAGCGCCAGATGATTATATACCTTCGCTCGTGAGTCACGGAGATCTGGCGTTCCAACTCGTGGCTAATCGAGACATACCCGGGAACGCAATAATCTCCGGAATACATCGCAAACACTTAAGCAATTATATTTAAACGGATGATTAATCCGACAGAAATGATTGATCCGGGGCCTGAAAAAAAATTGAAATCCATCTCGAGATTCGTCTCTCCTGAAAGAGGTCCGATTAGCATTAACTGAAGTTGAAATCGGAATTTCTCACGATTGACGATCGTGCCGAGTGTCCTTCCGCATTTCGAATGTCATAAACAATCCGCCGATTAATAAAAAGAGATGCTGCGACGCTTGAAACGTCGATTCGGGTCGTGTAACGCGTGGCCGCCTGAGGGAACTGTCTAAAAATAGACACGTGTGTATCGTAGAAACGTACGCATGACGGACGGACGGCTTGAAATAACCGGAAAATAGGATAGCTGCGGATTATTTGATTGCCTCTATCTCGTCCTACCTCGAGACATATTTTTTTCTTCTTAAATAATATTAAATCGAGTCTTTAAGTTCTTACAAGAGAATTTTTATTTCAATTTCACTGAAGAATCTGTTCGTTTTTCAAAATGTCAATGTCAGATGTTACGTAATCGGTAGTAGCGCCGATAAAACGCAATACGATAGTAACTAATCGTCCTCGCAACGTGATCATTAATCTTTAATCAATGCACTTTTTTTTAAATAAGTACGTAACTACGATCGTAACAACGATAAAATGTTCGATTTTTTATCTGATAAAATTGCAACTTATCTCCCAAATGCGCGATAACATGAAGTCTTTTTTTGCGTGTTATTTATCCGCATAGAATCGGGGCCGGTAATATCAGGCGCAATAAACAGCGCGCGTATCAGAGTATATTATTGCTGTTACAGCAATCGCTCGATGACAGAAAACGAGGGATAGATATGCGACCGTGAGGAATATCGAGATACGCGAGTTCGCGAGTAAACATTCCGTGCCAGTAATTTGTATAATTATGTAACTTTTTATCTCGTTATGAAGCGACGTAAACGGAAGAGACCCGATTTCCATGAGAAATATACGGGTAACGTGTGTCTTTTTTTTCGGTGGAAAAGTCGAAAAGCCTATCGTTAGCAGATATTTAGCAATAAATTACGGCATCTCGAAGTCGTTCGTTCGAAAAAGAGAATAATTATACAGTTACAAATGTCACAGAGATATTACTGAACAAACGCGTTCCACAGGAGAATGGATTCGTGATAACGTAATTAATTCCCCTGCAGCGACGCGATACGAGTATATTTAGATTATAGCGGTTTAATATATGATAATGTATGATAAAGAGAATCGTTGCGTGTTGATTATTCATGCTGCTGGCGCCGCATATTTGGCGTTTTATTTTTTTGTAAAAGGAAATGCATTAGCGAGGCGCTGACGCAGGTAGTATTTTGAAATTGCATGTTGCAGAAGGAATGCGCATAATACGATGTGCGATACAGCCGATATATATTTCAGCATTTTTAATCCACGTGACACATACGGCTGGTATAAAATGCCCATATATTTATATAGCAACAAAAATATAAACTCACAAAGTTTTCCTCGCAATTTACCATCCATTGTTTTGTGCAATTTAATAATAATAGAGTAATCTCTCTTCCCGGAAACCCTTTCTATTAAAATACGTATTAAAAATTGTGTGATTTACTCGTAATATTTTTATAAATTCAAAAAATATTTTTTTTTTTTAATTTACTTAAAAATTACATACACGCATTTATTGTGAAATTATTGCTTTAATCTGAAACATTTACCCATAATTTTTATTCATTTGCCACGTGTAACAGGTATATTCTGCGACGTAAATGTGACGCACAAAGACAGCTATTGTCCGCGATTTTTCACGATAATTACTCTGCTGCTATTTTGCGCGCGAATATATGAATCGATAACACTCGGTAACGAAAAGTGTTGTCTTCGCATTTTTTCGGTTGCAATAATTTCCAGTCGTATATACATTTGTATCGCGGAAGTATTGTACCTCCTCCTTCCCCGAGTAGTTTTATATTTATTTAGAGCCACTTTTTCCAACATCCATTAAGCTCTAACTGACCGTTAACTTTTCACAATAGTTAAATTCTATTTTATTGATTAAAAGGTTAACGGTCGGTTAGAATTTAACAGGCGTTGGAAAAAAGGAATGTTAGGAATGCATACCTTTAGGATAACTCTATAAAAACCCTCAGAATGACTAATCTAAACGAACTAGAACTTCCCGGAAAAGCGATAAAGCCTTTTTAGGCCCTAGAAGAAAAAGACTCGAACTATAGCGAACTATAGAATTCCCAACAATTCGGTATTTAAGATCTCACAATCAGTACGCCGTACTTACGGCATAGTCAATTTTGCTAGTATTGTATTGTAAGCGAAGTGACAAAATAAATTCTTTCTGGAATAAGAATTAATCACGAAAAAGAAAGAAAAAGCTGTGAACTTTGCAACTAATACAGATACATTTATCAGCATAAGTAACTCTGAAAAGTTGCAATTTTTTTAAATTGCTATCAATGCATTTATGTCGACCGCTTTCTCATCCGAGTAACGAACAGTCTACCTATACCATATTACGGACGAATATAACTTGTTTGCACGGCTAACAACCGCGAAGAATTAACAAATGATTTATAGTTCCTGCAATTTCCACGCAACGTCCGATGAAAGTATTCGCAATTTCCGCCTGGAACTTCCGATTGCAGCCGTCACAGTTTTCCTGCGGTTCCCTCAGGTCCAGTTTCACAAGTGTCGGTTAACTTTTAACCTTAGATTAACTTACTCTTCGTCTCTTTCTAAGAGGGACGTTAGAAAGAGACGAAAAGTGAGTTAATCTAAGGTTAAAAGTTAACCGACACTTGTGAAACTGGGCCTCAGTCGCTTCCCTCAGCTTATCTCACCTTGACTGTTTTATTCGAGTTGCTTTATTGCCTCGCTTTATTAGCTCGTTTTATTATTGCATTATCAATATGTGGATTTTCAGATTATCTTAGTATTTAATACCTATGTATTTCTCGTGTATTTCAAGGCAAGGAGAAACTAGATAGGAAATTTATTGGGTTCTACCTGGAAAATATTTCAAAATAAAATAAGGCTCGCTCTCCTTCTTGCTTTTCTTTCTCACGTAAGGTAACGCCCCGGTGCAGTCTTTTCAAGCACTTTCCCCCGATCACGTAGACGACTTAACGAGAAAATACTCGAAGAGTCGAGAGAGATGGATAACGGAGAAATGTCTGAACGTAATTATCTGCTATTTGGAATATCGGAGTATCGCAGTACTTATCAGCGATCTCGAGGAGTCGGATAAACAAATGAAAAAGATTGCACACTTAGGTATATCTGTGAATTCGGATAACGGATGAGTACTTACTGATCCAGATCAACAGAATTAAAATAAGACTTAATAAGAGATAAGATACGTCTTTTCTTGCACCGAGTGGCGCGAAGAAATATTGTCTTTTGAGATAACTTGCCAACCTCGTAATTTTGTCTGGCCGAAAATACGATGTTTACCTCGCGATTAGTTTTTGCAATCTCGTGTTTGAAGGTGTATAAAGGGGAAAAACACTGGAAACGGCAAGTTTCGTTTGTCGATTTAATCGAATTAACATTAATTGCTCGTGAAATTGATACTTTTGTTTACGTTGGAAAATTGTTTTGCGTGCTACTTGTGAAGAGATCGCGCCAAGCAAACATTGCTAATTATATTCGCGACACGTGAGAACCTGCCACACGTTTTCACGAATTTATGCATCATTGCGTCGAAAGAAAAGAGAGATCTTATCCAGCGAGATTTAAATGAGTGTTATCTGATGTGGACGCTTTTTAAATGACGCGCAGTTGAACTTTTCACGGTGAAAATTATCAGCTTTTAATTGATTCGTTAATTTCTGTTAGATATCTCGGGATTTTAAATTGAAATTTTGTCGTAAATTAAACAAGACGATTGTGTTTCTTCCCAAATTTTTAAAATTTAAGAATTTTAAATGTATTGACGCAACTTCGACGTTGATTTTTGGTTTGTGAAAAATCGTTCATTTTTCAGTCTCTTCGAACTTGAAAAAACGATATTTTTAAAAGAAACCCGATCAACTGAGTCGAGGAAAAAATTCATGACCCGGCATTCCGCATATCTATTCAGAGAAGCGCATTCGCGACGATTGTATAACTGCGAAGACGCTTATCGCTTACTGCTAATGCTACTTAATAACTAGAGCGTGTTCATAGTTCGTTATCAATGTAACAATTCGTTGTCAAGGCTGTAACGCTAATTAATTAAAGGACGCAAGAAAAACGTGTCGGTTTTCGCAAACACGAATTACTCCACTGCACCGTGAAGTATCGAGAGTCAAGTGTAAATTAATTAATTAAACCGCAACAACTGGACGAGACGAAGGAGAGGGTTCTGTGTGCTTACTGGTGCTGTTGCCGCACTTGAAATAGTCCTTGTTCCACGGCTGCTCGTAGTCGCGGTACTGCGGATTCCGCGAGTACCCGTAGGTGAGCACCTCCGGTATGTAAATCAGGTCCATGATCCCCTCGTGGCGATCCCCCGCGTTGGTCGACGTTCAAATCGGGACTGTATATCGTCGGCTCTCGAATTAGCGCCTCCCGCGCCGAAGCGTGCGTCTTTTTCTTTCACGGACGGCTCTTCCAAGCTGCTCCGCGAAGCCGCTCTCGTGTCGGAGTATCGCTTGATAAAGACGTGGGTCAGGCGTGTGCGGTTACGTCCGGTAATACGTAAAAACGCAGTTTCTTCTTCCGCGGGGAAAGAAAGTTGGGGGAAAAAAAAATAGAAACGTTCCGGGATCCGACCCTCGTCTCCTTCGTGGCTTTTGGTGGCTTTCTCGCTTTGGACTAAACGAAGCGTGGACGCTAACGCGCGTAATGTTTATCTGTTGGGGGCCTTACCCCACTCCGCCTCACCGGTTCTCCCGTCCGTCCTCTCCCTCTTCCCGCTTCTTCCGTCCCGGCACTCCGACACATCTTCCTCTATCTCCCCACCCCCCCCCTTCCCTCACCCCTTCTGTCCTTCAGAACGCGTACGTTAGCGTTTACGTTCCTCGGTGTGCCCCACCTTCCACTCCGCCAATCACCTTCGCCCGCTTCGCATAGAATTGTGCGACGCGCAAAAGGTAACGACGCGACGCGCGCGTCGAGGAGAGCGGCATGCGTGCATGCGTGCGTGCGTGCGTGCGTGCACGTGTACGCGCACGCGTGCGCGCGTACGTGCGTACCGGCGCGTGCGCCTTGGCGCCGGAAATAACGCCTCGCCCTTGTTTTCTGCGTTTTACTTTTGAAAGAAAAAAAACGCTTTTTTTTTGGCAACGGGATCAAGTCGATAAGATAATGTTTTTGACTTGCTGCTATAATTATCATGATGTTTTCAAAGGCACCGATGAAGATAGAAAATATTATCGTTATCTTTTTTTACTTTTTTTTATCATTATTATTGTCACATATAATATTAACGTATTAACGTAATGTAATAATAATACACGATATATTTATATATTAATATTATTATTTAAATTATAATTATTAAACAATTAACAAGTGTATTATTGTTATACAACAAAGTTCTTTCGTCCAAATTAATGGAAATAGTTTCTTCTGAAGATTCAGTTATTCCTCATTTTCTTTATCTGGAAGGATAATCCTCAGTGCGTTTTTCCATTTGACGTTCCGCTATACGTCTGTTTTCAACAAAATATAAATATAAATGAGATACAACGTAGAAAAGATAAAGTAGTGAACTTGCAATTTTATTAATGAGTTTTTAAACATTTAAACATTTTTCAACGCGAAGAAAAAAAGAATATTCATCATCGTTGCTGACTTTGTATTACGTCTTTCTGTGACTGATTCACATGGACATGAGTTACAATCGCAAATAATCATAGCGTCACAGGACGTTGTTCTTTTTAATGTTTCGTCAAATCTCTTCGCCGCGTGTAAAAACAGTTAAGATACGTAGATATGCAGATAGTGCGACGTGCGACAGATTGTATTGTACTTGTACATTGTCTCAAAGTCTCAATAATGATCAAGCTTTATGATTAACATATCTTGTCGCCAATCGAGTCTTACTCTCGGTCTCGTGATGTTTTTCACCGACATTTACGATCGAAGATCACGGTCAGATTAGCGAAACGGTAATAGTAGAAAACTGGCATGACGTACTATTTCTGCCTTTGTTTCTTGTGATTCCTTCGCTTCCAGCTTACCGTATCTATTTCTTCCGTGTTACGTTTCACATTACCTTCCCCCTCTTCTGGCCTAATTTTTCTCGCGTTCTTATTTAACATCCTTTTGCTGTATAATCTCTCTTGCTGCTTTCTCCTCATGCTTTAGAACTTTCTTCAATACTTTTGTTAATAAAAATATATTGAAATTTTAATTTCTGTCTCCATTTTTATTGTATAGTATAGTGTATAAAAGTTTATCAATTTATTTTGATACGCTATAGCTAGGTGTATGCAGATGTCCAGGAGCCACTAAAATATTTTATCTTGCACATATTTTTTTCCACTTCAATATCTCCGTCCTTGATCTCTGATATGGATCGTTAATTAATAATTAATAGTAATAAAATAAACATCAGTGATGAATAATACATAGAACATTTTTCAAATTTATTTGAACTCGGAAACGATGTTCTCTGTGGCTTTCCCTCAAATTTGCGTTAATGATATAATTTTTTTATTGCACTATGCGAGAATGGAATTTTTAAGGCTATTAGTAAATTAGCTGAATTAGTTAAATTCACCGCATTATAAAATATCAGTTTCGCGACATTGGTATATTAGCAACACGAGCAGAACAAATTTCAGAATATTTGGCATAAAATATTTTACTTGAAAATTTCTCATTTTTCATACATGCTACAAAATTCTGATTTAATTTATGCTTTTCGGGTTATTTAAATCTTTATTTATTTGCAAGCTGGGAGCTGTGAGGACAGAACTGCGAATTGCGAAGTAGAAGATAGGAAATCCGAAAGATTTAGAGTTAAAAAATCGAGTGCCCATAAGATTATCTTAAGAATCGCGAAAACAAAAGGAAAGGGGGATTTACCTTTGGAAATCTTATCCTTTATTTATTGATACTTAAGGAGAATGCGCCGTTAACGGATGACAGTATTGGCCGATAACGATATCCGGCGATTAAATTCGCAATTGATTAGATTTGCAATCGCTTTCGACGTTTTTCTAATGCAACGTGCGATAGGGGCTGTATCTTTTATCGCGGACGAATTATGTAGAGCAAATCAAAATATTATGTAACAATGAGCGAACGTCTTTGCAGGAGAGCCTAGGGGGAAATTCACGAACGGCGATGTTGGGAACGGTGTCACCGGCCAATATCCACGTGGAGGAGACCTTGGCGACCCTTCGGTATGCGTGCCAGGCTCGGGCTATAGTCAATCGAATCCGCATCAACGAAGACCCGCACGACCGGCTGATTCGGTAAAACATCTTCCGAGATCTAACTTTTAATTAAATAAAGGCTCTCTATATTCTCGTTTATTAGCGAATTATATAGTAAAAAATTGGCATGAATATGTCGAAGGCAAATTATAATAAAAAAGCTGAAATCTCATTATCCTAACAGATTTTAATAAAAATGTAATTTAATAACTTATCTCCATAGCGAATTAAAGGCCGAAGTACTACGTCTACGCGGAGTGCGCAAGGGATACGAGAAGCAGTTTGGAGTTGTGCCTTATCAGTTGCTCGATCGCATCAAGTCTTATGCATGGAGTCCATCCCACCAGTTCGATAAGGAAGTTGTGCAAAAGCAAAAGGAAATTGACAAACTGAAAAATCAGTTGAAAAAAACGGAAGAGCAGTTGGCTGTTACTCAGATGTAAGTGAGATAATTTGGTCCCGTATACGTACGATAAAAAATTAAGCGAGACGATAATATTTAAATTTTGTATATAATCATGTTATATCTTTAATTAATTTTTGTCATCGATTATTATCTTTCTCATTCATCCTTGGAAAGAACAATTTCAAGGCAAGAACAATTATCAGCAGTGATAATTTTGTAAATTTTGGAACTGAAGATATTGCAATCATGAGATATGATTTTTTAATGTGATGTGTTTTATTCTTAGCCGTTACACTAGCCTTGCTATGTTTAAGGGCTGGAGAAGCTATAAATTTAATCTTATAATTTTATAATTTAATCTTTTAGTAAAACTTATCAAAGGATTAACACTTGTCCTCGCAAGTGAAGCTAGCTGTTATCGCAAGTGCGTACGCGGTGTCATTAAGAGTTTCGCAAATCTGACCAGCGACTTTTTCGATTTACATTGAATCGGTAAGACTTAATCGTTAGCTACATGTAATTACAGGAGTCCGCACGAAAAGTTCCAAAGAGCCGAAGAGAGGAAAAGTTCGGAGCTCAAATATTTGCGCCGTTGCGGAATCGCCATCGAGATTGATTTCCAGGAGCGAGATAAGCAGCCTTGTCTCGTAAATCTTGCGGCCGATCCTCTGTTATCCGGTACACTTTTGTATCTTATACCTCCAGGTTTGGTTCGTATCGGGAAGAATAGCGGATCCGAAACCGATAATCTGGATATCATGTTGGACGGACCTCTTGTTAGGGCACTGCACTGGTTAGTCGTGGATTGTGTGTGCGTTTGTCTTTGATGTTTAGGCCGTTTAGGGCAAAGTATAGAGGATGAGGGGAAAAAAGAGAATGGATCGGTGTGAGAGGAGAGATATTCTTCTAAAATACTGAAGCTGTTTTCTCTTCTGTCAAATATATATTTTGAATGTGCTATGAATGTTTCCTGTCTTGTACTAACAGCTTCAAAAATTCCCCGGAATCGCTATATATTTCTGAGAAATATAGAACGTTGTAAATAATTTAGGTTCCTACAAACCAATATTTTTGAGCGATGCTGCCAGCGATTGTAAAGCTGTTAGTCGCCTTTCTGAAAAATATTTGAAGGTCTTTTCGGTACTGTATCTGCAATCTCAATAATGTCAGCGGCATCATAAAGGTGCTGTCCTTTCACAGGAAGGTCAGTCATAAACCCGACTTTTTTATCGTTTTACTTCCTCACTTCTGGTAATGTGATTAATATCTTTGTTAGCGATTTTTGCCAACAAAATACAAAATTTAATGTTTATACATTTTTTGGACTATAAATATTTTCAACTCGACGTGCGTTAAATATCATGCACGTTAAAAAAAAATAAACATCTCTTATTACTTTATTAGAGCTTATGAAATAAGACTTTTTCTCGTTTCCCGCAATTTCTGTAAATTATAGCAGCAATTCCGGAACTTTTTGAAGTTAACGATTTCCACTTATCAACACGCCTTGCATCATTTGTTTTTTATAACGAGCCGACTAATTATTTCTAATCTTAATGCATGTTTTTATTGTTACACAGCAAATCAGTAAATTGCAATTATTGATCTATATAACTTATTTTATCAATTAGATGGATTCTGGCAGGCGTGAAATGGATTCAATGTTTCTTATAATTTTATAAGTTGTTCTATTTATTGTTGCTTTTTATAAACCTTGTCGATTTCCTGCATAATATTCACATTCTATTTATACTTAAACTTTATCCTATTCATGCCTCATTATACAGGTCTTCATTAAGGATTCATGAAGTCACTGAATAAATTGGAATTTGAACAAGTCTGGGACTTACGACGCAATATTTAAATTCTACTTGTTGTTGCTAATTAACATAAATTTGCAGCTTGTCTGCAAAATATATGCATTTACGTATGTGCTACTTGATAAAAACTAAGTACTCACTGAGGTGCTTGTTTTAACTTTCTACTGAATACTTGAATTCTATATATCACTTCTATATAAATTAAAATAAACGACTAACGTTTTGAATCTTTCTCTCTTATATAAATATTGTATACAATCGTTTGCTATAAACTTTTTTCTTTTTTCTTAGCTCTATTGAAAACAACGAGGGAAAATTAAGCTTGACGCCCGAGATGGGTGGAGACACATATGTTAACGGACAGGTAAATGATAACGGATTAATTGCTAATATGTAATATATAAGAGATTGAAACACTAGATAAAAATATTTCTACTTATTCGTAGATGGTAACTGGGAAAGTTATGCTCAGACACGGCGATCGCTTAGTCATCGGCGGTAATCACTATTTTAAAGTCCTAAATCCGTACGACGAATCCTGCAATGTCAAGCTTTCCACACAAGCGATAGATTTTGAATTTGCGCATCAGGAAATTCTTCGAATACAGGAAGAAAAGTATGTATGGTTAATTAGAACAAATGTAGTTAGAGAAAGACTCCTCGATATAAACTCTCAAGAAGACTAATCTTTGTAGAACCAGAATGCAGTTATTTGTACAAAAATATTGATATTATCGCTAGTGATAATGATAGCAAATTCATGTCATTGAGAAGAATCTAATCGTAATATTTTACGTTTTGCACTACTATCTCTACTATCATTAGTGATATAAATAATTTCGATGACCGTTATCAAGATGATTATTAGCATAAATACTTACAAGTTTAACATAACTGCGTTCTGGCATGCAAATTTTTTTTGATAAGTATTATCGGCACTTATCACAAGTTTATCCATAGATTAAGAGCAGAACTGGAGGAATCGAAACAGAAAGCGATAAAGGAACTCGAAAATGCCAAGCGCGAGGTAGAATTGCAACTTGGTTCGCAAAAATCGAAATACGAGCAGAAGATCAAATTTCTTGATACCACTCTGAAAGAACAACAGCACACCCTCGAACAAATTGATCACAGAAAAAAGGAACTGGAATTGGAAAGGGAGTTGCTCAGCAAGGAGGTGGAAATCAATAATAAGATTAAGAAAATGCAGCTGGAGCAAAGTCACGCGAGACTAACGCCGTACAAATCAAACTTCCTGCAAGAACTCGAGAGTATTTTGAACGAGAAAGCTGCGGACATTGAGAACGCGTTAAAGACGAAACTTAATGGGGAAACGATAACCGCCGGTGGTATCAGTCTACACGAAATGCAAATACTCGTTAAGGAAGCGACTCAGCGATGTAAAGAAGCTGGATTTGATTTTGTAAGTTATTTTGTAACAATTATATGAATTATTACACAGAGTGTCGTACAGCCGATAATTTTTTGTACAAAAAATGAATAAGAAACAAAATATTTTTCAATTGCTTGTGTAGTCAAAAATGATTTTGAATATTGTAGCGCATATAAGTGAATTCTATTTACATACATGTCATGTGTATTAGATTTTGTTTTTGCGACTACGATACGGTGATGATACGAGGTACTGATATCGTTGTTAGTTGAACTATTTCGAAACGTAAGATACAGCAATCGCGAATACTGATATGTTTTTTACAGCATTAAAAGCTCATGGCGAAAACACTTCAACCGCAGCAAATCGTTATAAAAAAAGTTGTATCTGATTTGACGTACAATTTTAATATCATAAGCAAATAGACGCATTCATGTTATTTTTATATAAAAACCATTTTTTAAAATCTGTAACATTATAATTTTTCTTTTTTTTTTGAACGAGAAATTATCTTACTGGCTGCAACATTATTCATTGTATATCTACTGATTTTGTGCACAATTTCTTTAAATTTTTCTCCGAATTTTAGGAATTTGACCAACAACAAACAGTAGTGGAAAATAATTTGCAGCCAGTGATTCGTGTTCGTGATAAAACGATTGCGATGGAAACACTGTTGCCAGCGACAGACTTTCTGAATTGGATTTATCGTTTGAGAAACTGTGACGATATACAAGACTCGATGAAGGAACTATGGCATTCCAGCTACAAGTGGGAGTCTTACGAGACGGAAGTATTTGAGGATTCTTTAAACAACAGTAGGATCTCGATAAATATGACTCCTGTGAAGAAACAACTGAACAAAAGTATCCACCTGGACAAGTTGATGTTGGAAACGACGCTGAACGATACATCCATGATGCCTGATCAACAAGATGTAAATGCGTGTCTCACTCAAATCGAAGTCGCCGCGAAAACGTTGAACAAGCTGTGCCGTCGGTATCAGAACGACACTAAACCAATCGTCGAATCGTTAGCTAAGATGCAAGATATTATAGAGTGTTTAAAAAATATCTTCCAGAGTAAAGATCCGAGTGAGTGCGAGGATGTGAGTGCAAGTTCGATAAATAGTAATAACGATACTGTTATCGACATGTTGAACGATGTAAAGAACCTTTCACGGTTCCATAGTAAGGAAACAAACGAATGCAAAGAAAAAGATACTGTATCTGTAGATAGCATCAATAATGACATAGATAAGTTAGCAACAAAGGATAATGCTGAAAATTGCATCAATAATGACATAATAGATAAGTTAGCAACAAAGGATAATGCTGAAAATTGCTCAAGTCACATATCGCCAAAGAAATCTAGCATGCGGAATAACATGCTAGATACGAAAGATGGAAATGTTCAAAAGAACGTAAGGTTTACTAATAAAACCGAAAATTAAGACTTGATAAAGTAAGAACGATAGTTGTTTAAAATATTAATTATTTTTTTACAGACTTTCACTATTGCCGTTTTAAAAATCTGAGAAACGTATATATTATTATATTAATAATACATATTGCATTACAGATTTAGATTTGTGCAACGCTTCATTAAATTTTATATTTTAACACATTTTATAAATCATTTATTGGAACCGTGCTTTTATGAATTTTCATTATTATTTTGATTATTATTGGTTTATAAGACTTTAATTTAGCTTGTATTAAAACAAGACTTTATTTTACGTAACCGAACTAAAAGACACTTAGTAGCGAACTACTAAAGTATAATAAAGAATGTACACACAAGATTTTATTTTAAACGTATGTTAGGTGTAAGTATAATTTGTAAATTACAAACTCTACTTTTCTCGTAATTTCTAAGAAAGTAGTATCTGTAACTTAAGAATATTATATTGCAAATTGTATAATATGCATGTGAACTTAAAAGTAATCTAACGATAGACTTTTTAGATTAATGATAGATTATAATATTATAACTTATATGTCAATGATTAAAAAATAAGTTTTTAATACTTATTTATACTTATTTAATACTTATATTTAAATTTAAGACTTGTTTTAATTAAAACCTATAATTTACTTTTTCTACAGAAATAAATTAAAATTCATGAGCTTGTAAGACTGTATATATAAAAAGGATTGCGAATATTTTGTATAGCTAAGTATTCATATTTATGTGCCATAAGACAAGTGACAATAAATCTTTATAAATCAAACAATCAAAAGTGACATACAGTATCAAGTTTTGTTATAATATGCACTCAGTAAAAAGTGGAATTGATAACATTAATAGGTGTATTTATTAAAAAGTTAATGATGTATCAATCAAAGTAATCTTCAATATCGATATTAGGATTCAACAAATCTTCGCCATACATACTTAAATCCAACTGATTAAGTATCAAATTTTCACACATCTCTTCCAGGTCTGTTTCCCCAATGAGCACTGCACCCTGCATTTTGCCGTCCTGTAGAATGATTTTAATATACTCCTGATCCTTGGTAATTCGCAAAAGTATTTCGTAATTCTTCCCCAACGTCTGCCCGTTATACAATCCGAGTAAAACAACTTTGTAGGAAAAAAATTTGGTCACGTGAGTGAAAAGTTCGAAGCAAAAGTCTTGCAAGAATTCTTCGCATCTTAAATTCGAGCCCATCGACTTGGCGGCGTAACGACCCATCTGATGAGCCTGCGTCCATAGTCTCATTTGAAACCAATGTTTCGCTTTCGGCCAGCCGACAGTACACACGTCTCCAGCGGCGTAGATGTCCTTCTTCGAAGTTTCCAACTTCCAATCAACCAACAATCCAGCATCCTCCCCTCTTTCGAGATCTTCCAATCCACTAATGTCGGAATTTGGAACGACACCTGTTGCTGAGATAATAAGATCGCACCCAATAATCTTACCGTTCGTTAGTTGCGCGTAAACTGGCCACTCTTCTGTAGAATCAAACTGTTCTCGCTCGTCGGAAGTGAGTAACTTTGATATCTCGCACTCATATTCAACCTGAACGTTTGTAGGCGTAAAACGTGTACCGCCCATATCCAAATTATTGTGCCAATCCGGGCCAAGAGCGGCCCCGTTTTTAACTGGCACGCTATCCGACACAACATACCTCATTCTTTTGGTCGGCGAATCTTTATTAAGGTTTTCCGATATGTCGGATTTAGAAGAAATCTTATCTAAAAAGAATTCTGCGGCTCCAGGATCGACAAAAGTTGCGGAAATGTGCTTGTCTTTGATTACCCAGATCATTTCGACGCCTTTAACTTCGTGCACTATCTCGGTAGCGATTCCGCCATTGCCAACGATTATGACCCTCCTGGCGTCTCTAAGTTTCTGAGAAAATTGTAATACGGATTCCGTGTCACGAATGCCTATAACGAAATCATTGTTTTCGGCGATCAGTTTGGGTTTCGCGCCGGTACAAAGGCACAACATTTTGAAGCTTATGACTTTTCCACCGCCGACTTCTACCAGCTTCTTAGCCGTGTCAATTTTAACTACGGTATCATGAATAACTCGTAACATTTTGTGCTTCTCGCTCAAGACTGTCGCGCTTTTTTCTTCTACATCAAAACGCATTAATGTTCTGCCTAGTGGAACTACATTTGTCACAGCTTTTATCAGGGGACTAGCGGTAATCAAACATATGCTTTCCTCCGGAGCGAGGAAGCTCAATCCCTCCGCGCAAGATACTCCAGCTATACCGCCTCCTATTATAACAAACGTTGACTCCATCTTTTCCATATTTTCCTTGGATTCATCCATATTTAATGAAGGACTACATAAGCGTCGTAATATGATGATATAGATAAACTAAAGATTAATTATTTGACGGTTTCCACTCTGAATAATCGTACTGCCTTAAAGGAACGTCGTATGTGATGGTCCCGTAATCTTTGGCCCTGATTAACGCAACTAGAAGCTGTTTGTGCCTTCTTTGGCAGATATTTGTCTTCCTACAAATAAATAAGAAGTCCATAAAGATGTATCAAAAGACATAAGGGCTAATGTAACAAAAACACGTAAAGTAATATTGATAATGAAACTTAGATGCTTACGAGTAACTCAGGACGTCTCCGTTATACTCGTTGATGAACTGCTGAAGCAGCTTGACGTTTCTATGATCGAGTACAAGATACTCGTCCCTACATATAGGACACGGATTTCCAGTGGAGATCTGGCCTTTTCTCTAATTGAATATACTAAGCATTATTAAAAGGCATTATATTAATTGTATTGTAACAGGATAAAAAGCTGCGAATACGTACTATACAAGTTTTTCGAGTTCTTCTAGTTGGAAACATTCCTTTGTGATTTCTTCTGTATGGTTTCCATACCGGCTCATCTCCGTAAGTCTGCTTGTAAGCTGCAGGATTTCGCAATAGTTGTAGTCACGTGATAATTGCGTCGCGTAAATTAGTAAGACTGTCAGAGCAAAACACGCTTGCCTGACAATCTGGACACTTGAAACTCTTATCAACAATTTCTTACCGTCGCTATTCATATACCGAATGCTGGTCTCTACGGATATAACTGGTCTACGTGCAATCTTGGGAGTCTCCGCGGATGAACTCTCAGTTACATCACCCTCGGTTGCATTTCCTTCGTCGGAACAACGCGTAAGCGAAAACGTGATGGCTCTCGCCGAATCAAGCTGCAAGCAAATTTACATCTATAAAAGCGACTTTGATCAAACTTCGATCAACTTAATCGGCGACTAACTTATTAAGCAATACCCGTGATATTTTATTAACGTGGGCAGAACAATTAATATTTCGTCGTTAAATACATATGCAGAAAAAGATTAGATTAGGGACAGCAAATTGCGTAATTAGAAATCTTGCAGCAATTTCAATTAATCACTGATTTCGGTGATTTCCAACAAAATTTCCAACTATAATACAATCTGTTGCTCCTGATTTAATCACCTTGTTGAACAATAAAGAATTAATAATTCTATGATAACAAAATAGAGTGTAGGTGGGTATTACTAGGTTAATCACCGATTAATTGGAGTCCGGCCGGTCATCCTAAAAGGTTATTGGTTTATGCGCTGTTTATTGCTCCAAAAACTCACTTTATGTGTTAAACTCGCTCGCGCCAACGCTCCTACTCGGTGTAACGTGTTTAGAATCGACATGCTCGGCCAGACAACTGCGAAAATAAAGTGTCTATTTAATTATTACGTATAAACATTCACGCACAGTACTCCAGAGTGATTGATGACGCACGTGTCAGAGACAATCTCGAATTTCTACGCAAATCCCGCAGAACAAGTAATACGAATTAAATATATTAAGCGTATTATTAAAATGACTTCATGGAAATGTAATTAATGCAAAAGAAAAAGAGGTTGCATGATTTATCGTTGAAAATTTACAATTGCACCTGATTGTGTTGTAAAGTCTGTTCCTTGTTGCTGCACTATGTTACACTTTCTGCGATGAAAACGAAACAGATGATCAGATGTTGGAGAAAGAAAGAGAGAGAAGCTGAAGGATGTAAAAAGTTCAACCACAAAAAAAAACCTGTCGTATTTATACAATTACAATATACAGGATATTTCTAAAAAAAATGCCCACTAATTATATAACGCTGTTTCTTATCAAAAATTGGTGTACTTTCAGAAAGTTAGCAAATATAAAGACCCGAACAGACCCGAAAGCCAATCGAAGGCTACCGCGACCGCCAATGAGCTTGCTCCATTTTCGCTTCATGCGCGCGAGCCATAATGCCATAAGCATGGATTTTTGCTACCGCGATAGCCAATGAGCTTGCTGGCTTGCTCCATTCTCGCTTCATGCGCGCGAGCCATAATGCCATATAAGCATGTTATTTTTCCGGATGACCGGATAAACACGTGACCATGAGTAATCGAGTCAACACAAGTCTTAAACAGCATTTACGTCGCATCGATTTGAGTCTCGGGAGCAACGTATCGCGGTTTGAACGGCATTTATTCTCTCGCTCGTTGGCTCGATAAAAATCGCGGATCGTCAATCGTCGCAAGCAAAGGCACAAAAGTTAGGTTCGAGAGTTCCAACGGGGCGCGCCTGGCGCGCGGTCGCGCTTTTGACTTGCGCGGTGACGGGAGCAGGATGTAGAGACCGGGCACTTCCGGCTTGTTCATTGGTTAGCAGGCAGGGTCTTACGCAGTCAGGTGAGGATTGTTTCGCACAACGTTGTCAAGGGATAATTGCCGGCGCGGATTCGCGGAAGCGAAATATTGAACGGGCTACGGGCGTCCGGTAGCGGCGACGGATTCTAGACGACGTTTAATTGCAGATGGCAAATAGACGGGCCGAGCGTACGCGGATGAGGGTCACGTAGCGCGCATCTCGGATGCGACAGGAAGAGCGAGAGTCAGAGAGTCCAGCGAGGCCGGGCGAGCAGAGAGACCATTCGGCAACACGCTCCCCGTGTTGCTGACGTTACTCGTTAATCCATAAGGACATGTTCAGTTTCTCACCAGATCGTGAACATTGATTTTCCATAAAAAGGACTTAATTTTTATCTACTGTGAGTGGCTATTCCTATTCTCCAACGAATTATCCAACTAACAGATTGGCATGAACGAAAAAGAAACAACAAAAAAAAAAGACCGAAGGTCGGCAGCACGTACATACAATTCCCATCGGGAACGACCCCCGAGAGAGATCTCGACGTTCTTGCTCCGATGCGTAAATCGCGTAATCGCAACGCGTCGTAAAGCTATTCGAAACGTGTTGAAAAACAGCGTCATCGGTCCGATCGAAGGTGAATAATGTCGGGGACTGTTGGTGACGTAATCCCGCATTCGTGAATCGGGTATCTCGCGCGAGCTGAGTAAGCGGGTCGCGAGAGAAAGAGAAAGAGAGGGGTCATCCTTGAAAGTGCCATAATCTAATTGGTGCCGAGAAAAGTAATACGCGAGCAAGTTTTTAACTAGTGTCGAAAAAGCAAGAGAAAAAAAGTGTTGGGAGATATTTTTTTTTTTAGACGTAAATAGGAGAAACGTATGGCCTCGCGAATATCTCTGGGTGTGTTACATAAATAGAACGGTTAAAAGCCGTGGAGGAGGGGGGGGGGGGGGGGAAGCGTCGCAATTATCGGGTAACAAAAGCGTGACCGGGTGACGGCCTTTATTGGCCGGCGGGGAGAGGCGTCCTCCGTTCCGATTGGTCGGCCGCGCGCGGGTACGGACCGGGTGGGGAGCGTGCGGCTCGGCGACTGCGCACTGCGCGTCCGGGCTAGTCGTGTGAGAATTACCGTTGCGACGGAGCGCACCTCGTATCCTCGCTTGCGTTATCCGAGCATTTTTAACGAGCGGCCGGTTGCGAATCCCGCTTCGCAGCTAACGTTAGCTATTCTAGAGCGATAGGGAATGATATCATGGTAATAATTGCGTAAGAAAAACGTAGTCCACCGGTAGGGAGGTCAGACGCGCGAGAATTCCGTCAGCGGGGAATCGCCCCGAAAATGTCCGACGTCCTCGTTGCGACGTTGCGATGATAATCGCGCGCGGCGCACGGTTGCGATTTTCGTAGGCGAGCCGGGCAGGGGGGCGAGCTCGATCTCGTAGGGGATTCTGACGATCAGGCGACGAAAATTTGGATCGAAGTCCGTGAAATTCCGCGCGATTCCGTTTGCCTTTGCGTCGCCGTTTCCGGCCCACGCCTCGCGGGTCTCGGGCGACCGCGTGAGAACGAGAACGCGCGCGTTCGGCAATATGGCGTGATGTGTGCGTCGCTTGTTCCCGTTCGCGCCGCCCGACGACAATTATCAAGCATTTTTTACGTTTCGTTGCAGACACGCGCGGACGATCCCGCATTCGAGCCCTGGTCCACGTTCGGTGTGATGGAAATACGCTAAAACGTCCTGAATATCAGCAAAATGGTGAGTGGCATAACAATTTTTTTTTCATTTTTTTTTTTTTTATTATTTATATCGGTATGAACGTGGCGAATTTCTGACGAGCGCATAATTCGGGAGAGATGGCGCCACGGGCTTCGTCCAGGGGCCGAAAGATCAATAACCTTTGCCCCTCTCTCGACCTAGTACTCCACTTTTGCCGTTACCCCCCCCCCCCTCAATTACACAATGTAGATTGTTCAATTTGCCATTATTGCCCGTGGGTGTAACAATGGCGCTGAACAAATTTTCGTATCTGCATTCGAATCAAATAACGATTGATAAATAAAATTGCTTTATTCGTTTGTGTCGAATAATGTAAAATACGCGACGAGAAGATTGATTTCATCCACGAGATAATTGTTTTTAAATTTAATAAATTTTATAAAAGAGATGAAAATTATTCTGAAATAAAAGAGAAAAACTGAAGAGAATTTGAAAAGTATTTAAATTTATATTTGAATTTATATTTAAAAAATATAAAAATGACCAATTAATTTTATTCGTTGACAAATATTCTTTAATATTTTCTTAGTGTGCCAATATATGAATCAAATAATCTCCATTTTTCTAAAATTTATCGTAGTCTTTGGATACTCAAGTATTAGAGAAGAACCCTTTGCTGGTAACGTGCAAATCTAAGTACAAAGATATTATTTTATTGAGTACTAATATCGATATATTAAAATTGATTTACTGAAAGCTATTTGTAATTAATTAATTTTATTTTTTTATTAATATCTTTCTAGTACATTAATGTAATTATGTCGAATATATAGTTTTATCATAGTGAATAAGTTATATACAAGGTGTCTGTTATATTTAGAATGCCTGGAATATTTCTGTTGGAAAAAAATCGGAGAATTTTTTAAAAGATCTATAGAAAGAAAATTCTATTTTAAGAAATTCTTTTTCTTTTGAGAATTGTATCTTGCAAACAGCTGACTGTATCGGCTAATGAAATTAAATTAATAACATATTTTTATTTAGCAGATTTAAAACATTCTTATGAGAATTGAGTATATTTTCTCAATATATTTTTCCCTTTTTATGCTTCAGTAAGTGTCGAACACGTAATTTTCACTTTATCATATGTCTCAGAAAGAAAAGAAAAAATTTTATATAAATTTCAAATTTTTGTGCGTTTTCTCTGTGCAATATTTTCCACTTCTTTTGAATAATTTTTTAAATTTTATGTTTGTGAAACTTTAATGCTTTTTGTAATGCTTTGTGAGGCGACTTTTCTTTCTTTATAATTTATAATACAAAGTATTGAAGACTATCTTATAGTAGCATTAAACTGATTGTTTTGAACGGATTGCCAACATTTGAATGGTTAATTTGTAACATAATTATATTAATTTTATGATTTATTATTATCTCGATTTTTCATAGACATCTATAATGATTACATTAGATTTTTATTTGAAACTGCATATTTTCGTTATTTATATTTGATCATCCATGCATCCAATGCAGATGTCGAGATAGTCTAAAATGTCTGTAGTCTTCTATTATCTTCGATCTTAAATTTAAAAAATTATTTTATGGAGTAAATCTATGAATGAGAAATAGAAATTTACATTTCTTTTAAATTTTTACTTAAAAATCATCTAATGGTATCCATGGCTGAGTTTTTTAAGTTTTTCTCGAAAGTTTATAAATAGGTACCTTGTGTATATTTTCTATTTTTTAATTATTTTCAATTTCCTTTGAAATTGTTTTGAACTTTAAAGTTGTAAGCATTTTATATCCTTATATAAATGAATGTATCAATAATGTTTTTCTTCTTAAATTGTATTTTCAGCCACGTATAGATCCTCTATCGTTGCTCAAATGCCTTAGCGTTTTATTGGGTCCAACAGGAGGTATTAAGAGTAAAGAAGAAGTTCACCGATTAGCTAATTTAATGACAAAATTTTCTAAGAAGCTTGTTTCAAAATGCATTTATATACAAATATTGAAAACCACTAATACGGACTTGCTTAGTCAGTAAGTACTTAAATATACGAACTCTACGTAATATTAACACCATTTAACTTTATACACTTCATTCCATCATTTTTTATGATATTAATTAAAATAATTTAGTAATTAAAATAAAAGACATTTGTTATTCAGCATGTTGAGATACACAAGTATATGTTATTTGTATGTTTGTGTGAAAAAAAAAGTATAAACATGCAAGAGAAAATTATAAGAGACTCAGAACCATTAGACGGTGCTTATTGTGTGCCGTTTTTACTGATACGAGTCTTACATCTCAGTTCCAAAACTTAGTAGAGTTTTATGATTTATTTTGTCATATTTGTATGTGATTGTTGAATCTCTCTATATATAGAAGAGCAATGATTAAAAAAATTACAATAATTTAAAAAAATTCTATAAGTATAATTGTACAGTTTTTTTTACTTGTAGAAATTGATTATTACTATTTTTCATGTTTGTGGAATTAATCTTTACCTATTCTTTATAATACTGTACTTCTAAACAATTTTGTGAAATTAGAATTTGAAATGGAGTATATAATTTGAAATAACATATTATCTATACAATAGTACAAGCTAATGTATTATTTTACGTTTTATAATTTCCTTTTTTTTTGCAGATTTATGACCGCTGGAGGATGGAATCTTATTCACACGTGGCTCACTGATGGCATCCTTGCCAAGAACTGGGCTCTCATTCAAGAACTTCTCAAGCTTCTGCTACTCTGTCCAGTAGATATCGAGCGGTTGAAGAGTAATAATTGTCCAAAGTTGATCAAGGGATTGTCGAAAGAAGGTAGTCATCAGGGTGTTCGAACATTGGCCAGTCGACTTGTCGAGCAGTGGCTGAAAATTGTAAAGGGAGAAGCGGCGCCGAACTCGGTGCCGGCTCAAATCATGACGGTTTCAGTGCAGTCAAACGTTATTGCGGGCCAAACTGCGACTGTACCTTCGTCGCAACAACAGCAGTGTGCGAACACTCAGCAAACCGTAGATGATACCGAAAATGCAACCGTTCACGTGCAGGACTTCAAGCTCGCGCAACAATCTACCGCGAGTATTTCGATAAATCAGCAAGATCATGAGAAGCAGCAACAATTGCAGGAGAGGTTACAGCCACAAACGGTGGAAGTACAACAGCAAGTAACGCAACAACAATCTAAAAAGCAATCCTTCGTTGTTGTTTCGACGTCCTCATCACTGCCTGTTTACAAGATTACTATTCGCGACGGCAATCAGGTCCTCGCGAAAGTAGAGACGGACGCCGCGAATATAAGTAACGTTCTAAATACAGCTAGTACGAGTACGGACAGTGGACACGCCCCAAATGCTACGCAGGAAGCGAAGCCAGAAGGGGAGGAGGAGTTTGACGAGGCGGAAGAAAATGGCAGTGCGGCTGGTGGTCGAGATGACGTAGTAGATGTTGTACAGTCAGACGATTCGGGACACGTTCCTAGTGAAGTGAAACAAACTGTAGTTAGTTCTAAAGACAATCAGGATACTGAAGGTGTTAAAAGCAAAGACTCTAAGGACATTGCCAGTAGTGATAGCGGTAAATCTAGTGATAAAGAAAATAGGGACTCTCATAAAAAAGATGATAAAAAGTCCAGTAGCAGTTCCGAGAAGAAAAGTAGTAGCGGCCATCATCATGGCTCATCTTCGTCTTCGTTGTCATCGTCATCGTCGAAGAGCTCTAAGCATGGCACGAGTTCCAGTGCGCATCGCAGCAGCTCTACATCCCATAAATCTAGTAGTCACCGTTCGGGTTCTAGTAATAATAGTAGTTCTAAAAATTCTAGCAAAGATAGGTCTTCCAAGGATAAAGACAAGCATCACTCCAGCTCATCTAGCAAACACAGCTCAAGTAGGAGTAAATCCGAGCGAGACAAGGAACGGGAAAAGGAGAAGGAGAAACAGAAGAAGGATCAGGCAGAGAAGGATAAGGCGACTCTGGAGAAGGTGCAGGGTCAAGCGTTGAGTTCTAAGATGGGCAAAATACCGAAGAAGCGAACGGAAGATGAGAAGTCGAGCGATGCAAATGGAAGAAAGTCTTCGACCGAGTCGCGCGACAGCTCGAAAGAAAACAAGGAGAAAGCGGATTCGAAGAAGGACGCCGTTGCGACGAAGCTCGTTACCGAAAAGAAGAATATATCCATTTCCATCGAGAACAGAAAAAATAGCCAGGACTCAGGAACGCGACCGAAGACGGTGAAGACGTTTAACTCGAAATTCAGATCCACGGGCCTAGAGGAAGAAGTAAAACCACCACCACCCAGATCGAAGAAGGCGGCTCCGGCTGCCGATAAGAAGGTTCTACCTCCAAAATTACCCTTGAAGAGGCCATCGCCGTTGAGGGATGTTCCACTGGTGGAGAAACGTGTGAAGCTATCCCTGGACTCACCAACAACAACCTCGCCAAGTGATGAGAAGAAGGGAGGGATTAAGCTGATTCCGCCAAAACCTAAACGTAAGTATACTGGTATCCTATTACAAACTATGTATAAAATTTCTTTATTAATACGTGATCTTTATCATAATTTTCTTTTAGAATACTGATATTTTTATCATAATCTAAATGTAAACATATTGCTAATGTCCTCAGATAAAGCAGTCTATGAATTGAATTTTTAATTATCTTGAAGTTACTCTATACCATGTAACTTCTTTAATTTTTATTCGATATATTAATAGAAATAATCAAAAATAGAAAACCTTGGAAATATTCTTATACTAAATACAATCTTACGAAATGGGAAGTATAGAAAAAAATGTGTTTACTAAAAGAGCAGATATCTTATAAAATATCTCAAATTTATTAACAGCATAAGAATCACAAAAAGAATATAGTACACAAGAGTATAGAATTTAACATATAGATTCAATATATTATAATTGATTAGAAAAAGAATCTGAATTTATTTGAACATAATAAATCATCTTATAAATCTTGTTTTATTTTACAAATTAGTAACTTACTAATGTATTTTTATATATTTTATTTTTATAATTTTATTTTTATATATTTTAAAATATATTTAAAATATTTATATATTTTATATATTTTAAAATAAATATAATAATATTTGTTAACACTGTACGCACATACTTTTTATCTTTTATTTATATTAAAATATTATTCTTAATGAAATCGAAGCAATAATTAAATATAAATATTAGTTTTGTAGCATTGTTATATTCTATTCTCGGAAATATTATTTTATTGTTATTTATAGTAAATGTCTATTATTGTTATCTATTTTTTTGCAATAAGACGTTATAATGTTTTTCTATATCACGCATTATACAAGATCCAAGTTCTATTTCGGTGGAATGATGATGATAAATGAATAATGACTGCTTAAGCTTTGTACATTGGCATGCTACGTTATATATGACTTACTAACTCTGTAATATTGAGTTTGCAGGTGGATGGTTCCAACAAGAAATGCAACGAGATCCGGTATTTACCGCGATATTTTTACATATCGCGAATATTATTGACAATTTCTCTCTTGACTTTTGGTGTTACATCAGACATTTATTTGCCTATGTACCTTTAACTTATTGTTTCTTCCAGGCATATCGTAGCGTAATATTTCTTAATAGTACATCCTCTACTTTCCCAAAAAATTATTATTAGCGTTTCATAGAAGATATAATAAGCCGTAACGATTTATCCATCGTGCTGCACGAAGATTTTAACAGCTCTTGCTCGTGCGGATCACACCTACGAGAAAATTAACGTCTCTCGTTAGAAGAACGAGGCCCATTAGGATCGACACTCGACTACGAAACTTTTTCGTATATTAAGAATCTTCGATTCAGCAGGTAATCCTCGATAAGCTATTCATTAAAACGCGATTTCTTCAATCAATATTCGCGCGACTGAGGAAGAGTATATACACATACATTTAATTATTTCCAAGTAAAACGTATAGTTTCTCCGTTGAGAGCAATACAGAATATAAATGAAAAAAAAAAGTGTTCTATCTCTCAATATTTACGGATTAGCGGGAAATGTGTTTTTTTAAATCTCCGATATCAGTGACGCAACGATACGAAGCCATCGCTCAGGAATAGTTCTAATCTTTTACTAGGTAAGGCAACAAAAACTTTGTCTATTCATATTTCTTCCCTTGTAAATGTACACCCTACTTAAACATTCAAATAAATTTATCAGAAATCTGGAATATTTAACTCTTGGGTTTCTGCTATACTTATACACATCTTGCTCGCTATTAAATGGCCGACGTTAAATACTACGCAAAGTATGTATCGCGAGCCCATCCAGATTTCCATCCTCTCGGTGATGATTCTTAACGTTAAACGCGCGAAATGGTAACGTAAAATATTGCTGTCAATGTTTCAATTGATTCAGCGATTGGGAGAAAAATTGGCTTCCCTCGAATCAGATTTGTTAAATAGAAGGTCTTTTTTTTTAGTTTATACGAAGCTCCGTTAATCGTCGCATATATATATTTGTTGCCAACGAAATACGAGTATCTTGGTCAAAACGTATCGACAGATAATATGGAGTTATCATTATCATTAACTTTTCATGACAAATGAGATATTGATGAATTTATCAGAGAGAATTGAAATTTGTGTCGGGCAAGTGATTTCGAACACCTTTAATAGATACGCAAAACTGAGAGAGAAAGAAAGAGAGAAAGAGAGGGAGAGAAAGAAAGCGTGCAAGAAAGGAGTGGTTGAGAAAAAGATGGGGGAGACTGTGGTGAGGAAGAGACGATATACTGAAGCAACGTTGAATAATGCGGTGGACCCTATGGATTTTAAGTAGCACTGAAAGTGCACGAATTCCGAAGCTGCATATTCGACGTCTTCGAGCGAGAAGGCCTCTCGGACCGGCAGGAGGCCCTCCTTTACAACATCCGACATCGTCGGCATGGTGAAGAGAGTCTTCTTCTTTGCCAATGTTCGTTACTGAACGAAAAGAGAGAGATACGCAGAAAGAGAGAGAGAAAGAGAAAAGAAACGAACAGATAGAAGGGCGAGACGGATCGCGCGCTCCAAAATTTGCAGTGTATACTCGGCGTGTAATTCAGAATTCTCTTTTGCATGCTTTATTTGAATTTGATGGAAAATGGTATTATATAAACGAATTATTTGATACTATATAATTATTTGTACAATCCCACAAAATTGGCTGGACCGTATATCCTTATCGAATTACTCGTATAACGTTTCGCGATAATCGCGTTTTGTTTTGGCGGATGGACGCGCGACGGCGTGTGCACAACGAAAGGGAAAAAAATCTGTAACGCGGCTCGAGCGATATTCCTGTTCGGAAAACGCGTCAAAAAGATGAGATTCATCAGATCCTTCACGCTCGATCGCAGATTTTGGATTGCAACGGCAATTTTTCGTCTCGGCAACTTTCATTCCGCATCGCGAGAACGGGGTGCGAGGCCCGTGGAACGGACCCGCCACCCACGTGGCGGCGACGATATTTTTTCTTTTTTTTTTGTCTTGCATCGCGACGATTTCGGAGTCCAAATTCGGCTCCCTTCCGGGGTCGCTGGGGGGCTGACTCATGCACACGATAGCTGGGGAGGGGGGGAGAGTTCGAAACGCGGAGTCGCGCTTTCGCGCGAAGGTGTGTATCGTCGCAGGGGAACCTAACCGATGTTTTTGCGACCGTCTCCACGCCGACGCGCACGTGGCCCCCGTCCCTGTCCGTGTGTGCCACCACGGCCGGACCGGCCGGCGTATACCGCGCTATACGGGACCCACGCCTACTAACCGTCCGACGCACATCGAGCCGCGCCGCGCCGAGCGCGGCGACGGACTTGGTGCTTCGTCGGGCGGCGCGTCATCCCTCCGCTCATCGCGGGGACGGAAGACCGTTCCTATCCGATCGCGTGCAAATATATGCATAATGCGCTCGGCACCGTACGTTAAATCCTTGACTTATTAATACGCAATTCACGACTGTTAACGTGGCCATTATACAGCATCGGAAATCGTATGAGAGAGAGAGAGAGCACGTGTTTTCTACGCACGTGTTTTCTTCTCCACGCGTGTCTGTATGCATATATATTTGTTGCGATATATTTATACACGCACGTGGAAAGATGATATGCTATTTTTAATTGAATAAAACATGAAAGGAAATATTTAGACGGTCGCTAAGTTTGTAATCAGTTAACGGTCTTTGTCCCCTGCGCGTTTAAAAACTTTTTGGAATGGAAACGAACGATGTTGAAATCTTGTGCCTTCTAAATAATATCGAAAAGCTCATTTTCCATCAGATACAAATATCCAATTTATGTATTTGGACTAAATAATTCGAAAAACAAAATACAGACTACAATATTTACATACAATCAAGTCGAATATTTTTGGTGATTCTTTTCTTGATATAATGTGAATTGTTAAAATTACGTTAAATGAGCATGACGAGAGAGAGAGAGAGAGAGAGAGAGTCCTATTAAATATATAAATATAGGACAGTGTCTCGAATAAGACAGAGTCTTTCCAAACTGCTTCAATCAGCATACGACGATTTAATTAGTAATGTATCGAATTATGGATTAAAGTCGAACGGTGCTGCGCTTGTTGCGCTTCTACATTTATTCTTTGAAATACGATAAAACACCCGTCAAATAGAAAAATTCTGTTCTGTTCGTTATCACTTAATAATGCAATCAATTGCTGTATTCCTGTATTGTTGTACACAAATAATACTGTTTCAAATATACGTTCGAATTTATTTTTAGATACAGCAAAGTTTCGGTTTCAGTCACAATAGCAGGCATTTACTCTTGTTAAACTATTTATTATAAACTATTTCGAACTGTTACAAATGTAAGAAAATGCAGTACATTTATAATATGAAACAAATGATGAATAAGACGGGACAAACACGAGAAGTGTTTGTATAATTTTCGTGATATCGATTTAATTAATCGAAAGACAATTGTAATGATTTATTTCTAACGCATAGATGTATAGGTTCTCTAGACGAACGTTTAGAATTGTTTATATTTTTGTTATCTACATACAAATGTATACGTGTATACAAGCCGAAACGTAGCTTCAAACGTTTTTCCATACCATTAACGACATCAATTTACATTCAATGAATTTTAATTGTTGCAAGGTTGTGGACTTTGCGTGTCGCATCGTCATACGATTTCCGATCAATGTGGCGCGATGCGAAGGCATTTAAAGACCAAAGATCGCGTCCAGAGCACCTTCGTACGACACTATTCGAAGTTGCAAGAGACTATCTGCCTAGAGAACAGTGATGTTCCTAAAATGTCATGTTTTTTCTTTTTTTATCATAAACTATTTCTGTGTGGAAATAAAAAAAAACCCATATAATACAACCTGTACTCTTCCTTAATTTTTCTATTAATTTCTGTCGTGCTTATCATGTCAGTGCTGTCACTGGGGGTACTAGATTTATTTCTACTAGGGTTATTTCTAATATATGGGACATAACTACCCATTATTCGAATTTGTGAATATAAATCGGAATACCCGATAATAGTATCCAAATATTGACAGCACAACTATATTGTATCCTTTAAACTCTTGAAGAATAGCTAGTTTTAACATGAATCGTATTTCGTTTGTAGTGTTATGGATATAAAATTGATATAAATTAACGTATATATTTTTGTATTTGTAATATGGGACAGTGATGATAAAAATTATTATGATGATAAATTTGTATGCTTTATTGTATGCTAAAATTGATTTCTGATTATTTTTTTGTGTTAAATCGTGATTTCAAAAAAAATGATAAATGAACAATATTTGTCTTAATTATCATGTTAATATGATATTTATGTATTTAATAACACTTTTCTTATATATATATATATATATATATGAAAAGTATGTATGAGTCTTATTTCTACAATTTTTGTAAAAATCAAGATTTTATTAAAGCGATTCAAATTAATTTTGTGTTTTCATAATAAACTAATTTGTATTGTAAAAACAATTGTGATTTATATACAATTGTTATAAATTATTTTCATCGTTTTGCATCTTTTTATTATGAATACACATAATCGCAATTGTTATAGATCTATTTTGTATAATTTTTGTGCAGTAATAGAATAAATGTAAAAATCAATTTATTCCATAAAGGAATATAATCATTTTGAAATAATACCTGATATTTATCTTTCAGCGCTGTAATTGTAATACGATTCAAAGAAATATATATTTTTTTTGTAAATCGTTAGTCTTAATTTTGAAACTGTTATGTAACGATGTGTTAGATTAGACTACAGAAATTCATTATAAAATTTAAGCATATTTATAACATGTTGAGAGTATTGCTGATTTATATTCGATATATCAAGCATATTTGTTCACGTAATTGATATTCTCATTTCTTAGTTTTTCTATTATTATTATATGCAACATAAAAAACACAGTCTTGAATATATTTTATTCGATTAAATAAAATTTTCTGTCTAAAGGAATACTTGTTCATTACGTCTCAAAAGTAGATATGAAAATATTACATGTTGATAAAGAGATGACGTGGAGTTTATTAAATAGTTTTATTAAGGAGACATAGTTTATTAAAAAGTTACAAAGTACTCATTCTCAATGTGTGAATATTGATAATTAATAATATATAATAATTATATTGGACGCATACTTACTTTTTCTTAAAAATCCTGATATTCTGATTTACATTTATGTTGCACCTACATTCTATTCCTTACGGCTTGTATATCACTTATAAACTAGAAACAACACTAATAATCATTGTCTAATTTATTGTTTCTCAATTATTTTCGTATTATTTATATGACTAATATACATATATGAAAAATCATACAATATAAGAAATCTTTTTTAAAAATATATTAGTTTAAATCTTCCATATCTCTTTTTTTACAGGATGTACTGAGCAAAATCGAAGACAAATTCATTTCGGCAGACAATTTATCGTTAATTTCTATTATAAACACTGTTCGCTGATATTGAAGAACTGATATTTTACTTGCAGCTATTGAAAAATGGGAAACATTTCTTATTTTTTTTTCAGATACATGCCGAATACCGTTAAAGCAACCAACGAATCACTACAACTTTGCGACTATCGGCACACTTTTACATAATCTTTACAAGCTGTATTCATTTACATCGTTCATTCACATCAAGGATGAAATACGATTACAGTTTGAAAATATATTTAATAATTATATACAGGTATTTCCTGATGGTTTAGGCATAATTTTAGAGGTGAATTCAATTAGGACAAAAGTAATTTATACAAATGTATTTCTGAAATTGCCATTATTAAAATTATCGAAGCACAAGAATTTTACTTAATAACAAGAATAAACGGAATTCTAATTCGGAAACGATAGACAGAATGTTTTATCATCTTCGCGCGAGAATCTTTTTGCGGAGTTATGCCTACGTTAGGAGAAACGCTGTATATCTATAAATTTTTGTAACACTGTTTTTATAGAACGTATCGCTGCTTTACAAAATTGCCATTTTATGCAGAATTATCAAGACGTGCTCCAGTTCTACTGTTCTTGTGAGAAAATCTTTAAATCTTAAAGATTTATTATTCAACTTTAATGTCGAGGACTACACACTACAGGATTTCCATACTAACGTTCCTCAATTGCTTTCAATTTCAGGCGCATGCCGAGATAGCCGAGTCGAGACTAAATTTTGCAAAATGTTTGCTAAAAATTTTATTAACAGAAAAGTTGCAGATTCGATAATTTGGTTCTCGTCGCTCATTATAATTCTCAAATTTAAATAAAATCCTTTTTTTTTGTTTTTAGCGATGGTGCTGCAAGAAAGCGACATGTTTATGGATGCCCTCACTGCGTCTACCAAAAGTAAGGAACCGAGGAAGCGTAAGCGGAGGGCTTCTATCACGAAGGACGGATCCTCGGAAGCTAAGAAACAAGAAACCGCCAACGCCGATAATCGCGAGAGCACGCCGCCACCTACTTCGCCGTCAAACGTCGAAGAGAAATCACCAGTCGCACTCAAACCTAATTTCAAAGTAAGTATCCTGGATGTAGGATCGAATATAATACGCTATTTATTTATATAAATTAATTGCGGAATTTTTTTTTTAGTTCTATCAGGACACGCTGGAAATAGAAGAAGACAAAGATCAAAGGGAAAGGGAAAGTGGCGAAGAAGAATTAAGGAAGGACAAAGATCAGGCGTTTGATGAGGAAAGAGACAACAGAGACGATGATGATATTGGAAGTAATAGTAAGTATTTTATTATCATCTTAACTTATTATATTCACAAGTAACAGAGATGAATTCTTTAAAAACACCTCCGTTAAAAAAATTATCTTTCATGAATAATCATAAAATTACTTTCGCTCATTTATTTCGTTTACATAATATACGTTAATATTTTTATATGTTAAAAACTAAAGTATGTTATTATTATTATTAATGCATTTTAATATTACAAATATTTTATATCATCGTGTTAAATAAAATTAATTTTATCTAAACAATAAATTACATATATATATATATTTTTGTTTCGTAGCACCGACGCCCGAGGAAGACGTGGAAGATGTAAAAGATGTGGAATCGCCAGAAGATGAATGTGCGATAATTGCGGATTTGACGAAGAAGGACAGCTCCTATCCCGAAATACGATACGTAGACGGACTTAAAAGCGTTCTGCTACTACAGAAACGTAAAGGGCCGAAAAAGGTTTTGAAGTGGAAGACGGATCTAGAATCTATACGCTACTTCGAATTGGACGAGACGGAAAGGGTTAACGTGACGAAGACGTTTACCGACATGAAGCAAATGGAAAAGCAAAACGAGAGGGAAGCATTCCAGATGGCCAGAAAATTAAGTACGTACGAAATAACTTAAATAACTATATTAATTTTTTGTTACAATTAACATTATACCTACTCATATGAAGCAGTTATATACTTGCAAATTATTTTGTACTTATTTGTTTCAATTATTTACATGTGTGACACAAGTATATAGTGAATATAATATATAAAATGATCTTTTTTGTCATTAGATACTGAAGATTTAATGGAAGAAAGAACGAGATGGAAACCCTTAATTCCAGTTGATCTACCGCCTCCGTTAGTGGAGCCTGGCAAAGATAGCAAAGAGAAAGATATCCAGTATGCTCGCGAGAAGGGCATTCTCCAAGCCCTTTACTTTAATCGAAGCATGTACGTAATAATTTTGATATAACTATTTATACATTCCGTGACAACAAGATCAAATATATTTTTATGTTATAGAATATCGTACATAAAAATGAAGTGATGAATTTTATGTAGGAGAGAAAGATATATGAAAATACATCTTCTCTATATATACAAATACATCATATAAGTTTTTATAAAACCGTTGCAGATCTTGTTGTGTGGAGTGTACCATTATATTCAAAATTTTAATCGATTAGTTGGGAGTTTTCAATTCTGATTATTTTTGTATTTTAGGATTCCGGACTCTGCAGCTGAACCCGATGAAGAACGGCACCATGTGATGACCGATCCGAAAATAATACCGTTAGACGATCTCACAGGCAATAAAGAGAGTGAAAAAGACTTCACAGCAGTAGCATGGCCGGAACCTAAGCCGCAACCTCCGCAACCGTCGACCGTAACGACGTTCCATTATCCGACGGCGTACCCGCACAACCAACCAAGTATGATGGCACCTATGGGACCCCAAACAACAATGGGCCCCATGCCGCAGATGCCGCAACAAATGATGGCTCCCCCGCACATGGCTCCCATGTCTCCGGAGATGACAGGACCGATGCCAACCGCTGGTGGCGGCGGTTGGAGAACGGGAGACGGCAAAGTCCTCGTGCCGGACGTTGGTATGAACCCGATGGCAAACATGTCGGGTGGTTTTAATCAGAATATGGAGGGCGCGCCCATGGTACCGCCGGGAATGATGGGACCACCGCCCATGTACAATCAAGAAGGCTACGGCATGATGTGTCCGGATGACATGGGATACAATAACTTCCAAGGTCCGCCCGGGCCGATGTATGGCCCTGGACCTAACTTTCCGGGTCCGAGAGGCGCCCATATGCACAACAGAGGCAGAGGTGGTCCCGGCTGGGGATATCGTGGACCAGTTAGAGGGGGTTGGAGAGGTGTCGGTGGTGGGTGGCGAGGAAGCGGCAAACAACCACCTGTGTGCAGACAGTTTTCGAAAAATGGTTATTGCCGAGTCGGTGACAAATGTCAGTATCTTCATCCTGGTGTGAACTGTCCGCCGTTTTAAGTAAGGAACTGATACAGTGATGCCGATCAAATTGGATACTAGTGGGATTGAATACTGATTGAATGATGTCGCAAGAATGTCTTCAATTGAAGGACCTAAAAAATGAAGGTGAAGAAGAGTGCGATTACTTGGCAGCGTTTTAATGATATGGCGATATCGACTATCGTGTCGATGATCAGTTCACTTGGAAAACGGATCCAAGTGCGCGCACGAACAATGCGCAATAACGCAGAGTGATCAAGTTTAATGTGCAATTTTTTCTACACGGGCATGACTATACATAGATATAAGTAGAATTTCTATTTGATAATACTCGATACATTCAAATGTAAAATGTAAATATAATGACATTTCAGTGAATGCCACATACAGTTGTCGCAGCATCCGATATGGTCGATTATAAGCGCTTTGTAAAATTGAATTGTAACCGTGCTAGGTTCATATCGGCTGCTGGACAGCAGAGCATTTTACCAGGTGGCTCAAAAATCTACGGAGGTTACTAACGTAATCTTCTTTTCGGTTCCTTGAATTCTTATTATGATACGTCTTTAGTCTTTAGCTGAAGTAAATAAATTCTATCTTCTATTATGACACGTCTTTAGAATTATACATTTGAGTACAAGATTCCTCTTTCTTTTCGTCATCTTTTATGAGTTTATATATTCTATATGAGGCCATTGCCGAGAAATTATATATAATTTTCAAAAGAGTGCGATTTAAAATATCGCAGAGAAAGTCGGATTATACTGACGCGACAGCTAAAGCGTTCCATGTACATACACGCACACACATGTACACATTCTTGAAATTTTATTGAGACTTATACTGTATATTACCGCTGCTTCGTGCTTGAAATAACAGAATTCTAGGATAGAGATGATATCAACAATAATATTCGATTGTGATTCCTGATGGAACAGGAGTTTCAATATGAGATAAGCTCAACATTTTGGAGCCTGGTGCTGCGTCCCGCTAAACGCGAAACACTCTCACAAAACAAAGATGAAGACAAATTCGTACTTTTTATCAGCATAATTTTTATGTGTAGATTCTTTGTAAATATGTTTGCATAATATATACATATATATAAAAACAGATTATTCTCTATATAATGATAGACTGTTAGATTTAATTCTATAACGATAAAAAGAGCAGGTAATATTTAATGGGAATCATATGTACATGTCCATTAAAGTAGAACGAGTTATATAATCTGATATCATTTGAACTAATTTTTCCCGAGTTTGATGTACAAAATCATGTAACGATTCTATGTAATTTAAATTGTCGTGGTAGTTGCGCCGCAAGTTTTTTACCGCGTAAGATGTTTGATTACACCTTTTTGTATATGGTTGATCGTTATGTTTGTATATAACATATTGTATAAGCGTTGCTTGATGAAAATACACCAGTCATAATTATTTTCTAAAATCGCCCAATAATTTTGTGAACTATAAAACATCCTTTTATTATGTATGGCATATAATCACTTTAAAATCGTAAAATACCCAAGACATTTTGTACTAATAAGTTGTACAAGTAATTTTGTACTAATAACATATCATGTTTCGCCTATTTCTCTCTTATACCTATTAAATTCGCCATTTAACAAACAAACTGTAACATATATTTCACAATAAGCATCACAAGAATAATTACATTATTTTATATTCAAAGATGATAGAGACTGTAAGAAAATCTGAGAACAATTATTTAAATATAATTCAAGATGTATAAAGTGGTGTGTGCAGATTATTAAGATTAACTGGAAATAAATAAATTTTCAGAATCACACAGGGGGAGGTGTGCAAAAGAGTTCTCTGTAAACACCAGTAACAATTCATTGAATTTGATTTTTCACTTAAATTGCTGAGGCGGAGGCCCGAAGATACTGCCGCTCTGCTTGCTCGCAGTTCTGGATGGCGCGAAGCCAAGCATTTTCTGGATGTTCTAAAAACGAGACGTACGAAAGAAATTTTACGCTCGCCCACCGCGATCGAGAGACCGATCGAGACTCACTTACCTGTCTGATGCTCATCGTGCACAATATGTACAAAAATATGAACGAGCACTCCGTGTAATCGTCGCCCGGGAGATTTCTGTGCGACAAGCCTTGTATCCAGCTGATCGGGACGAACGGCAATCTGGCGACCACCCGCCCGTCGAATATATTATTGAACATGCTTAACAGCGCGGTAAATGCGAACCCGATCGCGAACATTGACTTCATCTTCACCAGGGACAGGTCTCGATTGTTGTTCTTCAATCTCTCCTCCTCCCGTTCGATCTTCTTCTTCTGCTGCCTGTCCAAAGAATCGCCATGCGCCTCTTTTCTCTTCTCCACTGAAAGATATAAGAAGGGTGGCCGTCAATACATGCTTTTGTTTTTACATTCTGTGGTGAGGATGTTACGGTATGGCAAACTCACGCTTTTTACTCTGCTTCTCGACTTCGGCCTTCAGTTTCTGATACTTCTCAGTTCGGTATACCATCAACCACGTCAATCCTAAACAAATAAATTTTCAGAATCAGTGTAAGGAGTGCAAAAGACATATTTCTGTAAGCACCAGCAACAATTCCTTAAATTTGAGTTTATTTAGGCTGCGGTCCACTTGATGCTACAAATGCTTCGAAGGATTCCTCTTCTCCTTTCTTTTAATAAAGAAAGAAGGAGAGGAACAACGGTTCAAAGCATTTGTAGCGTCAAGTGGACCGCAGCTTTAAATTGCTGAGGCGGAGCATTACATATTACTTATCCGTACATCGGAGCGTAAACTGATAAACATAAATGCCGTTTTGCATCTCTTCCGCCGAGTTTATTAATACATTACAGCGCCTATTTTATTACCTTCACCCAGCAACGCCGTGCATATGCTGATAAACAAAATCAGGATGGTGTCTGCCCACATTTTTGCGAAAGTCGAATTTTCTTTTGTTCACGACACGTTGTACAGTCCGACACTGTCGCTCCTCATAATAAAGAATTGCGCGATCCAGAAAGAGGGATTTCCCACTCAATGAACCGTATTTTCACTACTAGTCGGCGAGGAACGTGGAAGCACGAGGATGGACGCGTCAAATTGTGGACATCACGAGCAACTTGCGGAGTCAGCGTCAGCAGGTAGGAAACGTGGTCTCTACGAGGGGTTCCGAAACGCATCGGTATTGCGTCCGATAATCTCATTGGTCGGCCTCTGCCTATTCTTATCGCTCATCAGAATGGGCGCGTTCAGCAGACCAAGCCGCTCAGTAGCAATCGAACGTGATTGGCTCTTACTTTTAGAACCAACCAATCAACGCAGGGTGTTGATAAGACGAACTCAACAGTTGTGTCTGTTGTCGCGGCCATGTATCTTCCTGATAATGTAATACAATTGTTTTTTTTTAATAGCTGTTGAAATTACAATAATAAAATATGACATAAATAAGTAAATAAATACGTAAAGAAGCTATTAGGGCCGACTTAATTGTCTTTCAATTACACTCTCTACACCCGTTTCTTTATCATTTTCTTATATGTATGTAAAATTTAAGCTTTTACTCATTTTATTTCCGAACACAAGAAGCGCAAAGGGACGTGAGAATAATTAAAGAAAATGTTAAATTGTATATTATTCATATTTTTATTTCGAATATTTGAATTAAGTATAACCGTCCATTTATTGATGGCGTAAGCCACGAATCCTATATTTCAACATCCTTCAGCTCATTATAATTAGAGAGAATATGCTACGTACATAAATAAAATATTGTCTTCTCTATTGTACAGCAAGATCAAGTCTTGCACAATTGGAAATTCTTCCATTCATTTTGTGCGACCTTGTACAAAAAAGAAAACGTTGTATCTTTGTTATGGAAAGTATGCTCCTGTGATTTCATAATTTCGGTGTGCAAATGAAGTAAATTATAACCGACTCCACTGATATAATGCCGAGAACGTTTGAATATAAAATTATTATTCCTTGCATTGATGCTTATTTATATTATTAAGTATCAATGCTTTACGCTACGTCATACATTATCTATTAATAAGAAAATATGTATATAAACAAATATTTTATATCTAGAAATGAATACTTTAGATTCGTTTAGACAGTCCTTACGATAAAAATATGTAAACAAACGTGTTATACGTGTAAATATCTTATAAATATCACCTATTAATGAAACAATAAGGGGGACAATGATGTTAAACAAAAGTTTCCACACGCTCAGTCATTAGAGTCCTCCCTGCTTGTGTCGCTGTATAATTAATACATTCTTTGCCGATGATGCATGAAGTGTCTGCCAGCGTGCCGCTCCAGCTTCTCGTTTCTGTCATTGTTACGACGATCCCAGTGATGATTACGTTTATCGTGGTTTTGATTTTGATTCTGACGTGACCAGTCGTGCCTGCGTGGCTTGTTGTACCAAGGATCGACGATTGGCGGCCTTTTCGGCTCCTGCGTCTTGATCTTCATGAAATCGCTGTCGTTCTCCGTATAACGGTCCTTGAACTCCTCCTCGCATTCCTCTATAAACTTCGCTTGCTCGCTTGTCAAAGTACTGTCCGTCATGATTAGCGTACCTGTGGTTTGCAGGTAGAAGAGAATGATAGATTAAAATAATTAATGAAGATATTATTAAGATATTATAAATGTTTGTGAGAAAGTTATGATAAAAGAGAACTTACAATTTGAAACATTTCACGCTCTCGCTCGATTTAGCCTCTTATTATATTCGCCGCAATTCGCTAAACAATCGCTAAATACCTTTCGCTCGAGCTACAAGTGGAGGTTATGTTCGGTAAATGTTCTCATCAGCATAAGGACAGGCGTTAAGTCTGCTCTTTTTAACTGCGCTTTCTGCACCCGAAATGAAATAGAGAAAAAGAGAAAAAATATGCGAAATATATCACAGTGATTCAACATTTTTGTTATATAAATTTAATGATAAATTATTTTGATTATCTTATTATAATTTAAACAAATTATTTTAATAACAGTCTTTTTTCTTTTTTACATATTTTATTAAGTTCTAAGTTAAATTCTAAGTTAAATCTAAAATAATAATGCAAACATTTTTTTACTGTAATTTGGCTTTTATTTATTAATAAATTCTATGTTCAGCATTAATCTTTAAAATTCACATTTTACCATCTTGTCCATCGATACATAATGTAAATATTTTATTGTATTAAACAGTTAATCCTAAAATGTTAAATTTAACAATGTATGTAATAAAATAACATATTAATGTATAATACACATATACACCAATAATAGACATATATCGTGCGGGTGCTAGTCGCAAATATGTATAATTCGCTATATCACATGTCTTAGAGATACTAAATCGACAATATTAAACCACATATAAAAGATGTGCATCAACAAAATATTGACTTAATATTACAATTTACTCGAGTATCTAAGTTCCTCTCTCCCACGCTTGTTACACTCGCGCAGGAACGTAATTACTGATAAAAATATAAGAAGCACAGATCAACGATAGCACGGATGCTTTTTGATAAGTGATAATAATCACTATTTATGCTTACAATCGCTATTTCTCATTTTCGAACTGGCAGTCCATACTAAAAAATTATTCGCGTAAAAGGCGAAAACTTTCAAAACGCGATCATAAATATCTGCAATATGCAGTACTTCATTAAGCTTGCCAAGTAACTAGATTTCCTATTACTTTCACTTATCGACACTAAATGTTGTAATTGCTTAATGGTAACTACAATGGCACTTGCTACTTTGGAGATTCTTCTTGAAATAAAAATTATTTATAATTCTAAATCTCTTGCAGTTATCCACCTTTAATTAAGAACTAATTTAATAGATATAGAAGATTTAAGAATTATAAAAGTTTAAGATAGGATCTCAGATACATAGAAATCCTATGTAAAATTGCCACCTAATTGATTCAGCAATTATTGAATCAATCTACGTAGTTAAAAGACATCTTTCGATTATTGCACGCACTAAACTTAATTTCCATTAAAGAAAGTCCTCGGTAGATGTTACTGTCGCTTCTATTAATAGCCCAAAATCCAATTCTGTAAGACTAGCTGCAAAATGAAAGTTACACTTTGTAAGTACTCTTAAGATAATATAATCAATTGTGTCGAGAATGTGTTGAGAATCAATTAATTAAACCTCACCTTTTGCGGTAAGTAAATCCAAAAAGGTGTCTAACGGTGACAAACGATCTGCCGAAGGAAACGCCGCCAAACCTGAAAACAATTTATGCATGTTATCATACAGATTGTATTTATTGAAATATTATTCGTGTATATTCTACTCACTGTTATGATGATTACGGTGTTGTAAAGTCCGACTGCCGGTTCGACTCTGAGATATTTCGCCGCACAGAATGTTAGCAGCGTGCTCCCTGGCTCGCAACATTAAACTAACTGGATGCAGCCATTGATTCAAGAGTCTCTTTGCGCGAGACCTTGGCAATAGGGACAACAACTTCAACTTCTGAACGACATTTTCTTTCGTATCGCTGATATCTAAATGAAAGATGAAAGAAGTAAAGTCAGTCTTTGTTAGAACGTCTGTATATCTTCTACCTAGATTATGTTTGAAGAATTGCATGCAAAGATACAATAATTTTTTGTTGGATATGTACCAGCTAAAATAATCTTGGTGACGTCAACTTGAAGCTCAAACACCGAGCGTTCAACGTATTGCAGAAACATTGAGTATTTGAGAGTACGGTAGCCGAGATAAGTGAAAAACGACGCGAATCCCGGTGGTGCTGGGAAAGCGATGCTTTCTATGGCGTACCTATATCGCTGTAAGAGCATAAACAATAACCATCGTCTTGCTTCGTCCAATTGGTCTCTGAAAAAGTTAACATTATATACGAATTATTATTCGATACAGCAATGAAACAAATAAATACTCAATTTTATTTTAATTACGATTAATATTTTAAAATGATCTCTACAAATTATTTACATTCATTTACAAGCGATATATAGAATTGCGGCAAAATAGGGGATTGTCTTACATGAGATTGAAGCCACGTTCCTGCTCAATTCTCGGATCAACACCGGCTGCTCTGCAAAGTATTTGACACAGTATACGCGAAGCTTCCAATTGCGCACCCACGTATCTCGTAGCCATGGCATGAACGTGCAACGGGGTACAAGAACCTCGCGTGTATATCGACGTGTGCGTGCCGTTCTTTAGAAGATACATTGAAAGTTCCCGCAAATTAACAGAGACAACGTGCTCCTGCTTCGAGGCGGTGCAACTTTCCGTTTCGTTAAACGGTAAGCCTGAGTCCAACTTGATGTTTCGATTTCCCATGAAGTCTCCAAGTGGCATTGCGACAAATCTGTAACATGTCATCATTTATCGAATAATTATTATGTCAAATTATTTATGAATCTGGTTATTATAAAAATAGAATTTCTGTATGAAACACACAATAAAGAAAATCTAATGTCAATTTTAAATCATTGTTTAAGTAATAGACATGTGTAAATTATATACAAATAGAAAAAGATAAATATATATTTTTGATTCTTTATCTAAAAAACTAATAGCACGGTTTGAATTTGCATTACTTTCACGTTAGTATGTGCATGCAATTAGTTACACAAAAATTAGGATGAGAAATGTTATTACCCTCCACTTGGAGACATTGGAGTACTGCATCTGGACAATGCTTCTGGTTGGTAACAAGCTAAAGAAACTAACAGTTTCTCCGCAATATGACTAGGTCTGAATCTCAGCTTGTCACTACCATTTTTACTCAAGTGATCCCACAATCTAGTCCATAAATCACTACGATAAGGAACGAGCCTTTGCTGGGGCGAAAGCAACATTACTGATGTGTTCCAGAGTTTCTCGTGACTCAGCGTGATATCTAAATCGTTCATCTTTATATCGAACGTCATGTAATCCCCTATGGTCGTGACGGGCAACAGAGATAGTAAGGGGACACTATCCGCGAGGAGATTCTTTTGCACTAAAGCGTAAGAGTTGCCTATAAGAATTTCCTGCATAAAGCGCGGGATATCTAACGAGCGCGGCTTTTCCGCGACGATGGACATTAACTCCGCGATTATTTCCATGTCGTTTTTATGGCAGAGAAAATAATGAAGTATCCCCAAGCGGACTTCCGCCGAGGTCTCTTTGCGAAAAATTTCAATAAGAAAGTCTGAAGGAATCGTCAACTGCACGAGGTCCAAGGTAGGCAAATCTATCGTCAGGATACTCGTGTTGGAATTTGCGAGCGGATTATTTCCTTCCGAACTACCGCTCTTGCCGTCTAAATTGTGATGGGAATTTCTTCTCGTTCCTTTATTAGGATTGTCCAAGTCGAGTAACGGCACCAGATAGGAGACACGGGATGGAATCGACGGTGGCGGACCGCACAATATGTGGCAGCAGGGCTCGTGGTTCACGCCGATCTCGAGAAGATGCGCGAACAGTCCCGGGACGAACACGATCATATGATGGCCCTCGTAGATCGCGAAAGTCGGCCTCATCAGCTTGGCGCGCGACCACGATATACCCGGTATAACGCAATGGATCACGCAGCTGTGATGCAGCAGCGTCACCGAGTACGCGAAATGCACCGTGTTGGATTCGTTCAGGGAATTAAGCACATGCTGCGGCGGCTGTACAGGCCGGTAAAGATAGTAGTGACAAACGCAGACCATCCCCTTGGTGTCCGACACCACTATGAGATCAAGGGAACAATCGTGGACTCGCAGGGGTATCACGTCATCTTCGTAAGTCCCGCAATTAGAGGACGGCGACAGTAGCGGTAAGTTTAATGGGATATTCAGCTAAAAAGATACAAGAAGTTTTACGCTAATACAACGTCATGCATTTCGCTACAAAGTTTAATTAGCAAGCACGTGAGATCTACTAAATATTATTCAGCATATTAATCAGCTCTATACAGACTGTTAGTAACAATTACAGGTACACAGATTCTCGTAGTTAGAATAAATGATACATATTCCTATCGTTCTTATCAACGAATATACTCACCACTGTTTCGTGAGGCAAATCGTCGTGAAATTGAAGACCGCTGAGGGTCGGTTTCGAAGACCTGGAATTATTCTCGTCGTCACCCTCGGTGACCACGCTCGTGGGAATTCGTCGATGATGTATATGGTAAAGGACCTGATTAATCATATCCCATTGGGCCCATATGAACGTTTTTACAAGTGTTTCGGACTTCAATTCCTTTATCGGTCTCGAGTGGCTTACAGACGTGTCAAGTTGAGCGGTATATATCAGAATACCTTAAAATAACACACAAATTGCAGAGATATGCGGATGATTGTAAATTAATTATACATTTATACTCAACCATACATTTTAAAATTTTATTTTCACGAACGGTAGCAAAGAATTGCGTTGATATGAACGCGACATGAGCCATAAACGCTTGCAAGAATTGCTTACAATCATTGCTCTACTTACATTCGTGATGTATCAGTACTAGAAACTTATCCACACCCAGTTCCTTTTCTCTGTACAGAAATTGTATCCGTACTTGCTTGGACCTCTCTATCTCCAGGTCGTGCACTTTGGTATCGTCGGTCGTTAATTCCACAATAAACACTCTATAGAATTCGCCGTGGGACTCGTGCTCCGAACAGCGATCTTCCGGGGGATTCGACGTCTCTAGGCAATTCTTCTGTTTCGTCACGTATCCCATTAGAGTGTGACTTTGGTTGACCGTGGCTTGAACGATGTTCAGCACCTCCGGGAAGCGGCGCAGTACCTATAAATTCAATCAACACTATAGATATCCATGTGGCGAGAGAAAGATCTCTTTCCTTCGTGGTTCTCACCTGTAATTTATTGTTAGTCTGGTCGTAACGGCCGACTACGGTACACAACGTACATACACCGTTCCTCTCTGATTCCTCCATCCATCCAATAAGTATTGAGCCGTCTTTTTCCTGCCCAAGTAGTTTCCATTGCTCGGCTGAGGAAGCAAAGAGTAGAGTTAATTATCTCTCCTCCTGACAAACGGTCTTGATATTGAAATTTATGTTGATCTTAAAATTATCTGTCGCACTATAAATATCTTACATAATCTGCCATTGTTTGCGCACACACATACGCGGATGTGCAAGATATTTTTATACAGATAAGAGCTATTCCAATGTCATATATCTTCCATTTGACAAATTAACTGGTCTCTTGACAGTTACCTGCGCTGGCGTTTTCCGACAAGAGCAAGCATAATTTCGCTGCGAGGTTCTCTATCATATCTATCGGAGGCAGCAGAGTTCCCGAATAATTCACGTTCCCTCGATTGTCCGCCGCGTTTCAGCAAAATACATATGCTCCAATGCTCCTCTCTTCGTCCTCGATGCTCCCGTCCGTCCGCTCCGAGGCTTCCTTGTCGTCTGCTGCTCGCCGAACGAAGCCGAACGAAGCCGAGCGAAGCCGAAACGAGATTCGCGAGAAAGCGAGCAGTGCGAGCACTCGCCTTCCGAAAGCGATCGCCGAATCAACACCAGATTGAATCTAATCATTATTATTCGATTTAATCATTTTAACTTCTGATAACTTCGTCACTTCTTTCCACGTGGCGGTCCGATCTGAAGCGGACAAAAAGGATCAGTCTGAGTTGGAAATCGGAGATCCGACTCCGAGCCGGCCCTGACGCCCTGACTGACGCATATTTACTCCCTCCTCTTTCCTCCCTACTTCGGGGACCTACAACCTACAGCGGCTACAACGCATTTTTTCCCGGTCTGCTTAGTCAATCGTGATTCTCTCGATTGCATCGAAGAAATACGGTGCTTAATTGTAGTAAAAAATGGTCGCCGGACGTGCGTTGCATTTTGTATTCAAGATACCGGATCGCGGATTAACAGCCAAGTTTTACCGTGAGATTCTCGGGATGAAGGTAAAGAGATATTATTCTTATTAATACCTTTTCTCCCTTCCTTCCACGTGATTCAACTTGTTGATTGTTGTCGCAGGTGCTCAGGCACGAAGAATTCACGGACGGATGCGAGGCCGCGTGTAACGGGTGAGTAATCGCCCTCGCGACTTGTCATTGTGGTGCAATAGTAATTTTCCGTGACAGTCATTTAATTTTTTTTACGTACTCGAAACAACGAGAAAAAGAAAATCGAAATATGACAATAAATGTATATTTATTGAACAAATTAGAAACTTATATATATCTTTGCCAGTAAATAATTAGCAAAAATGATTTTTACTTGACCAACTGGCCACATTTATTAATTGCAATAATCATCACTGTCATCAGTGATTATTACTATGCGGCCAGTTGAGTCGAGTAAAAATCATTTTTGTGTATACACAATAAATATAAATATATTTATTGATGTGTGTATCTTTTATATCTTTTATGAGGTCTTTGTTTCTAATTTCCTCTTCCAGGATATATGATACACACGTCAAGACTGCTTACAAACCTTTGTTTATACCTGCACACTTATAATTATTGTAAATCATAATCTACTACAATGTTACAGTACAAATTTTGTTTAGGATATCTGTCTTTTTCTTTATCAGCATAATAAAATGCATCGCATTGCTTATTCGTGTAAAACATTTTTGAAGCTACCATGCTATATTGTAAATATGTGGTTCTTTTATTTTTTTACAGACCATACGCGAATCGTTGGAGCAAAACGATGATAGGGTATGGCCCGGAAGACACACATTTTGTGATTGAGTTGACGTATAACTATGGGATTAAAGAATATGAAACTGGAAACGACTTTAAAGCTGTCACCATACATTCGAAAGACGCGATTGAAAGAGCACGCGCGAAAGGCTGGCCGATGCACGAAGAAGATGGAAAGTTTGTGATGCAGGCACCTGGTGGATATAAATATCACATTATTAACGAACAACCTCCTGCTAACAGCGGTAAATATCTTTACCACTATGAAGTTATATAATAATATAAATCTCTTTGTGAATAATTCTAACAATAACTTACAGATACAGTTGTAAAATTATAGTAAATATATGAAAAAGAAAATAAAAATTATATCACATTTTTAGCAAAATTATTATTTTTTAAATATGTTGGCTGCTTTGAACAGATCCAGTTGAGAAAGTTACTTTATCTAGCTCCAATCTTGAACGTACCATTGCCTATTGGAAAGATATTTTGGGATTAAAGATATTCGACAGGAAAGACAAAAGCGTGCTGATGGGCTATGGCAAAGATCAAGCCAAATTAGAATTTGAAGATATTGGTGAGTATAAATATCTATTTTTTATTTTAAATTTTTGTTAAATTATAACTACCGACTAAGTATTTAATATGATTTATTATTAAATTATTATGAATTTTTGGTGTATCAGGCACTGAAGTTAATCACGCAAAAGCATATGGACGTATCGCTTTCTCAATACCGTATTCGGAGCAACCCACAATCCAAAAAGCTATTAAAGAAAGTGGAAATAAAATTTTGACTGATCTGATAACTTTGGATACACCGGGAAAAGCTTCTGTAAGAGTTATCATTCTTGCTGATCCAGTAAGTACTTGCGGTACCTAAAACGAGACATCGTACAGTCGGAATTTATAAATTGTATTGCCTGTTTTCTAGGATGGGCACGAGATCTGTTTCGTGGACGATGAAGGATTTAGACAACTCTCCGTTCCAGATTATCCAAGTGAAGCAATTTTAGATAAATATATTAAAAAGGAAGCAGCAGATAAATTGGCGTGAAAATTTACCACGGTGCGGTCTCGCTTCGCGAGACACTACCGTGTCTTTTGATCTGTTATTGAAGTATTATTTGCAATTTAATAATATTAAGTGTAGACATTCATGGTGGTGGAATGCTAATTGTAAAAAAAGATTAATACTTAAGCAATGTTGAAGACATCAAAGTAAAAATATGTAAATATACAAATAAAAAATGTTCTCATTGTTTCGTAAAAACAAACTTTATTTCTTATATCAAATTGCATAAGATTAAATATTGTGTAGATACTTATATGTATATTTATCGTCAAATTTAATTAAATTTTATTACACAACAGTTTAACGTTAAAGTTTTCAATTCGATTGGAAGTCTTGTATGATTAGAAAACCTGATTTTTTTGTATCATTTTCATAGAAATAACAGATGCTGACGCTTAGACATGAAACGGCAATTCTCGTTTTGTGATAGCGTTTATCAACCATAATTATATTGAAAGCATTTAATTGTATTAGTGAGTGGTCAACAGGTCAATAACGTTATCTTTCAATGTGCCTATGTTACTGAGAAAGACGCAATTTACTGAGAAGAGATGCTGATAAACGTAAGAAAAACATTTAACATACGCACATCAAGCACACCAGTTTCCTCAAATCAGTGTATGTGGAGGGGGCAATAGGCGCCGAGGGATCTTGGAGCACGAGGCGTGCTTCAACGGTCGTCGTACAGGTCCGTGCAAGTTCAAGTCTTGTCTAGTCTTGAGGAGAGTCGAGTCAGAGCTTCGCCAGCAGTTAGTTACATTCGTTCCGAAAGACTTTATACGAAAGTTCATTAAATATACATATTACCCAAGAGTCATCTCTTCGAATTATTCGGACATCCTTACACTATCGTCGTTTTCATATAACAGAGATGAACATCCGAATTTTGCTACTTCTCTTTTTCCTAACACTTCTTATAACAGGTAAATAAACTTTTACAAATAGCGTTATTACATCGAGGTGATAATTTTGTATATTATTTTATATCATATGTGCGTGGAAAGTGGCCCATTCCGCGCGTGACACGCGCGCAATGGGCCATTTTCCACGCACTTGTAATATAAAATAGGGTGTGTAACACGTGTGTTAAGTTGAAAATTGGACGTGCGGAGTGGACGCACGAGCCGGAGGCGAGTTTCCAACTTACAATTTCCAACTTACAGCACTTGTTACACAAATAACTATTAAGTAATCTTTATTTTCTAATAACTTTTTTTCACCCACGCGTGTTTATCTTAAATTAATTTTTAATATATCGGTGAAAAAAATATTGCGTAGATTTATTAGATATAAATCCATCTTATTTTCAGACGATGTAAAAGCAGGAAGATCCGGATCCTCGCGAGGCTCGTCATCACGAGGTTCGTCATCACGCGGTGGTTCATATTCTTCTTCGTCTAGATCTGGATCATATGGGCATGGAAGTTCATCGGGCAGCCACACAACGAGCTCAAAAAATAACGGTTATGGAAGTTCATCAAGTAAATACACGCCAGGCTCAACTGGATATGGAAGTACATCAGGTGGCCACGTGACAGGCTCAAGTTCTACTGGATATGGAAGTTCATCAGGCGGACGTGCAACAGGATCAAACCCAACTAGAACTTCATCGAGTCAGTATACGATACGATTATAATATATAATAATGAAAGAGAGGATATTATTTTGATCTTTTACAGCATTATATTCATAATAATTATATGTTACTTTTCTTGTAGGTCAAACTTCGCATCAGCAAAATAAAGATGCATCCACGACTTTTTTACAAGCTGAAGGAGGAGGTGCTACGCGACCCTGTAAGTGCAATAAACAGCAAACAGCAATTGCGCGAAGCATTTATTTCTCATTAAATTTAAATATTTTTGTTTGTATAAAGCTCAAACTAATTCCGCACAATCCGGCCGGCCATCAGTATCATTTGGCAATACAGGTATTATTAGTATGATTATCTTATTATTTACAATTAGAATACATTATGAGATAGAAAGAATTATTTTTAAATGTTAGTTTGGATATTATTTTTAATATTTTTTTTTATTTTGCGTCTACTTCCATTTGTTTATGTTTTTTATAGTTAACTATAGTATAAAAAAATGATATATTCCTTTCTGTTCACCATTTTTCTATTAGGAACTTATCCAGGGAATCGTGGAACATCAGGTGTTACAACCGAGAGTAAACAAAATTCTGCACCATACAGTCCATCGGCACCATATAATCCATCAGCACCGCGTAATCCGTCAGCACCGTACAATCCATCAGCACCGCGTAATCCGTCAGCACCGTACAATCCATCAGCACCGCGTAATCCATCGGCACCATATAATCCATCAGCACCGTACAATCCATCAGCACCGTACAATCCATCTGCACCATACAATCCATCAGCACCATACAACCCGTACAGTCCATCAGCATCATCTGCTAATCATGTGCCGAAAGCCACTGTGGTGCCTTCGCAAAGTCATGGTAAATACTTTTTAATATATTCAACAAGATAATTTATGCTTTTAAGTTCTTGAGATTTAAGAAATAATAATCGTCAATTATAATTATTGATTTTAACAAAAAATTAATCAAGTTAAAGGAATAAATGTTTTGTAGCAAATATAAATTTAAAACATAATTAAAAATTATATACAATTTTCTTGCAGCTCCGACTTCCTTCGGCCAACCAAGCGCGCCTTACAACCCGTCACAAGGAACTGCACCTAACAATCCTTCATGGAGCAATCCACATTTCAATCAAGGAACTGCACCTAACAATCCTTCATGGAGCAATCCACATTTCAATCCGAGTCAATCTTACCCACCAGGTAAATACCCACCAGGACCCATTTCTACTAACATTGGCTTCAAAGATCATCTGCGCCCTCCAACTTCGATGCCCGTTCCTTCCGCACCTTATCCACGTCCTCCTTACCCTATTTCTGGTTCTAATCCACATCCTCCCCCTTATCCAGGCCATCCCTTCGGTCATTCGAATCAACCTCATTCCACGTACAATCCTAGTTACAACCCCGTTCCTGGTCAGATTGGACATCCTTCCAGTTACCCAGCGCACATTCCACCACCCGTACCTGGTACATTCGGAAATCCTTATTCCACGCACCCTGTTGGCGGAACATACGGCGCAGCTGGACACAGCTATTATCCTCAACAACACGTCCTGGCGCAGCCAGCAGCACAACCGTATATACCTGGACAAACGGTCATAATGGTTCCCGGTAAACAAGACAGCGGCAGAGGCCTCGGTCAAATGGTGAAGGAGGCACTCGTGTTCTCCACAGTCAACGCCGGGGTGAATAGGCTGATAAACCCGTATCCTCATTACGCGCATGATTACAGCAGTCCGGCGACAAGTAGTAGCAGCAGTCCTGGCGAATCACATATAACTTACAATAATTATTACAACACTGCTCCTACGGGTAATGTTTCTCCGGCTTCGCCGAATGCACCTCAGGAAAATGTTCCCGTTGCATATCCCGCCAATCCAGGTCCGGTGAACAATCCGGTTATTACTCCGGGTGTATCAATCCCTACAATAGTCAACAACGGTAGCACAACATATCCAGTTGGCGGTTCTTCTGTAAACGCAAGGAGTACAGCCAATAATGAGGGAGCTCCTCCAGTTGTGCCTTCTAATCCTGGATTTCCGGCTGGCAATGCAGTAAATAATCAAGGAACGTCTAATCAAGGAACGTCTAATCAAGAAACAACTATTTCTTCTCCACTGTATAAAATATCAGACAATGATTTATCGACGTTGACCGAAGAGTTATTCATGAAACAAGAAGTTAATATATCCAAGTATTTGACGTTACATCTTCAGAGTAAATCTGTGAACGTAACCGATGCAGCTAAAGGACCGTAAGCATTTAAATCAGCCAAAATGATTATTCAATGTATCTCGTTTTTACACATTTGTTTTATTTGTACACACTTTTCGTTTCTAGATTGATTTACGTGCAAGAAGAGGTGTACGATTACCCAACGATCTTAGGTATTCGACAGCTCTACGACAATTACGAACACAATTCCACCGTGAAGGAGATTCCTACGCCGGAAAAGCGAAAGAAAGAGGACCTTCTATTAGATGTGCTCCTGAACACGAACGTGATGTCCAGAGCTATGCGATGGTTGTCGGATCGAGGTTTCATCGATCCCGATGATTTCGAGAGGAAGGACACTTTGCGGCATATGTGGTTTAACACATTCGACGGTGCCACCTCAGGGTTCGAGCGAGTGTTCACATCCGAAAGATATGGTACGGAGCTTCTTGGAGTGCAGGACTGGATCTACTTTAATTATCAAGAATCGAAAAACCGCATTGATTACATGGGGTATATTGATACCATGAAGCTTGGCGATGTGAGTAGTCATATTATACGATATAGATGCAATATGTATATGTGTGTACTGAGATATACTGTATGTTCTTAATGTCACGTACGATATAAGAATAGTATAATATATTGTATGTTTTTAAGATTAGTTAATAACTTACTTCATTTGCTTTTCGCAGAGAGCCTCGTTGGTAAAATTGAACTTCCAAATGGATGGTGTTATTAGACCGAACGCAACGATATTCGTGGGCACACTTCCCGAGCTTGAGATGTCCCTGTACACGATATGCTTTTACGCCAGGCCGAATGATCTATGTCCCGTTTCTCTTGGTGGAAGCAAGTTTAATATTTTCACACATTCGTTTAGATATTACGGGAAAGATCTCATAGATCTTGCGCTTCCTATTTTCTAATTCTGTATTGAATAAATTCTCGGATGCAATAATATAAGTTACCGAATACATAATGTGAGTATAATTTTAATAGAAAGTATTAAATGTTAATGTAAGAATGATAAAATATATGAATTAACTTCTTTCGATTTTTATTCTTATAAGACGACAAATTTTGTTACAATAATGAAAAAAATGTATTGTAATTTATTTGGAAAATTTATACGGTCTTATAGTACTTCTCTTGTATAACAAAAAATAATATGTTAATTTTTACAATTAAGTTATATCTGTTATTACAGCACTTAAGAACGACAATTGTAATTTTATATTAAAGAATAACCATTTCATTTCAACTTCTTTTTATTTTAGCGATGTAGTCCTTTTCAAGGATGCAAAGTTCAATTTTTCCTGAAATTTGTATAATATAATATTAGTGAGTAAAATATATAATTATTTTCGTACAATGTATTATTTTTTTCAAGTATATTAAATTTAACATATTTAATTTTAAAGGTAAATTATTTAAATTTTATATTACAATAAAATTTAATAAGTAAATCTTGAAAAAAATGAAAAAAGATGTCTAGTCATAAGTTTTTACTAAGGAGAGATCAGCTTGAAATTGACTAAAGAAATCGTAGACGTAAATCCGTAGAGAAAGTGTGAGAAATCTGAAGAGAACATAGCATAACATTCGCGAATATTTTTTACCTAAAACTTTAGCTTTTATGAGGTTTTAACAATTGTCAAAGAGATTGGGTGAAAAAATATCGAAATATTGTTAAATTAATTTCGAACTCAGAACTGGTTAATTGAATAACTCAACCAATTGCAGCTCTGTGGGTGCGGAGAATCAGCGGTAAGAGAAAGCCTACAGAGCATGAATCATTCAATGTTACGGACGATGGTCACCGACGCGACGTCTAGGCCGTTCAGTATAAGGTCGAACGGTAGTAGTAGCACGTCGACTGCGTGAGCAAACAGTGCGTGTTAGAGATTTCTTCGAGTTTTCAACAGATCACGACGACAATTCGATAGAAGCGAAGCGAGCAACAACGAATATGAGAATCAGGGCGTGCCTGGTCACCGTGATTGTGATTTTATTTATTTTTGGTAATCGCATACGTTATTCCTAAGCAAATATTATTGTAGATTATAAGGCGTTATTCGATTAGTGGGTGAGAATTGTGCAGGAGAATGATCAAATTTACACGACTTTTGACGACTCTTAAATTTGCACGAAGTTCATTAATAATAAAATGCTTCGCTTAATTAGAAATCGGTTTTTATTAAAATAACTTTGTTGAATTTTACAAAATATTCGACGTTAATTATCTTAATGCTTCAAATTCTGTTTAAGCGGATTTTAGAATGTTCTCAAAATTTGTGCGAAGTGCTTTAACAATAAAATAATACTTTAATTAATCAAGAATCAATTTTTGGTAAAAAAATTTAGTTCAAATTTTACAGAAAATTCGATATTAATCTGTGACTAAACTTTAAATTAAAATTCTGTTTAAGCGAACTTTCCTGAATCAAGTTATATGTGTTACGTGTTGATACGGAAGCACAGTTCGTGGAAACGCATTCGCTTCTATAACTATAAGTCACGAATTAGCTGAGCTAATTTTGTGGGAATTACTAGCAATTACGGAACAGTTTTCAGATTAGTCAGAAAATCTTGCTGTGCTTAATACAGATATTGTGATTTTAAAAACCGGTTATTGTATCCATAAAAAAATTTAAAAAAAGTACAGGAACATGTTTAATTTATTAATAAATGCGGTGCAATGACGTAAACTGAACATATGTCGGATCTTTACACGCGTAAAATTTATTATTTTTAATCTATTTATGCTATATTTAAAGGTCTTTCGAAGCATCTTTTAGTTAGATCACGCATAAAAATAAAATGGACGCAATCAGCTATTTAATTACACAGTAAAAGAAAAATGGAGGAAATGTATTAAAATCACGTAAGATTTACGTAGAACTTTGATGAATCGACTAATAAATATAGACTGCGTAATAAGTGAAATCAGCGGAGCAAATTGCTCTTTCATGTTACTCCATACGTCATACCATCAATGTAAGCTCCTCATATGGCATTATTCACTTGACGGCGTTTACCATAATTGTATTACTGCGTCCATGATACTAAATTAGATTCTCATCGAAAGTCACGTAAATCGAAACTGTTTCAAAATGTGTTCTTCAAATGCGTTTCAAATGCGTACAAGTTTTACGTTGCACAAATAATTCAAAAAAGTTTGTGAGAACGATCACAGCTCTTTCAAAAAGATTGCAAGGTTTATTAAAAATTATATTATAGAATTTTATCAATATAAAAAATCTCGTGCATAATTTAATAAAAATTGCGTTTTTCATTATGAAGAAAAATTTAAAATATATAGGACTTGATTTTTAGATTATCCCTGTATCTATTGTATAATATAGCCCGGACAGCACGTATATGTCTAAAAGACGTCGTAAAGACATCTTTTAGACACACGTGTCTAAAAGACATCTTTACGACATCTGTTAGACATCTTTTAGACATGCGTGCTATCTGGGAGGACACGAACATGTTCAGCGTAATATATGATATTGAATCAATGAATGGACACGCACAATTGCTGCTACATTATATAATAATCTGTTGAAGAACAATTGACCTGCGAACAATTTGCACCGGTGTCGAATCGCGAGAAATAAAAGAGATCAATATAGGTTGCATAGATTAGATTGATAGTCACTCAATCACAATGTATTTTGTGACAGGATATCTCGATTCATCCTGACATAATCCTATACCTTTAAGACAAATTCAGATTATTCGTACAGATTATTTTTACAGTAAATAAAAAAATTCGGAATATTCTGTATTTTTATCAGGAATAAGAATTCTTTTGCACATTTGTGCATAGATTTTGTATTTAAACTATATCTTTATAGTTATGCTTTGTCTCCGAAGTTACACTAACTCTAACAATAAGTTACAACTCTCTTCAATACTCGCAAAAGCTTCTCTTTGCGATGTGACACAAATGCCATCTCGATTTAATTTTATCTGTAATACTTAAGAACAGAAATCAATAAATCAACGCTCTTAATTATGTACAGTATAATTATGTACAGTAAGATTAATCATTATTATTATCAGTTGTATTAACTGAGACATATGCAAATTTACAATTTTAAAAGACGTCCAGCTAAATGCTGAAAAGTTATTGCACGTGATAAATTGCAGATGTAATATCGTGCTTACAGCAGACACAGACGGTCGTAGAACCAGCGCAGGAACCTCTCGAAGGTCAGGATGGGGTTCTTCCTCTTCCTCTCGGCGGTCAAATGGAGGTTCTCAACATAGAACAACTCAACGGCCCCCACAGTCTGGTACGTAATTACGTTGTTAACGTAAACGTTTACACATGTTTTATCACTACATATTTCTATTCCCATATGCGGTCAAAGCTCGGATCTTGGTAGCCTAATACTACTTTCTGTGTATATTTTTATACATATATTTTCCAACTTAGTAAACTGCGCGCCGATTTTTTGTCAGACTAAAAATCTCTTTTCCCCTAATTTAATCAATTCGATTTAATTAGATGGAGGGATTTTAATGTTCCAACAATAAACTGTGTTTTAAGTCCGACAAAGAATTGGCGCGCAGTTTATTAACAATGGAAAATATGGGTATAAAAATGCACACATTATTTCGCTATTCTATATATTCTATTATTTATTTACAATACATTATTAATTTCTATTCTAGTATTATTCTATTACTATTATCTTTATACATTTTACTATTATACCTACATATATCCCTATATATTATAATTAATAAATTTTTTTTTAAATATTTATGAAGTTCTCGTCGGTTCTTTCAATATTGCATCATGTTGAACAATCTATATCGTTGGCAGTAAAGAAAAGAAAATCCACATCACTAGTTACATTGTAAAGAGCCAATCGTGAAAGATCATCGAATTAAGAGCTCCCTTTCATAATTATCCTACACGGAATTGCGCAGTGGTTTGCAAATATTGATATGTATCTGCGCGTTAGATTTCTTACAAATTCGATGAGTCACCGCTTCGCATCAGACAATAGCCTTCTACGGCTTCACATATATGTTTCGCTCGTCTCTAATAACAACACGAATCCCGTTACGTTCGCAAGGCTCAAACCCAGGTAAAATAGGATGGAACGTGCCACCGGGCAGCAACAATAAAGCACCCTCCGGGACCAGCAATGTCAAGCCGTCGGCTCCGGTATCCGACCACGTTTCCAAGACTAGCGCGACGAATGTACAATCAGGATATCCGTCAGGGAATCCGCCGCCGCCATACAGTCCATCGGGTATATTAAATTAATTCTTTCGTATTTTAAAGCGGAGAACAAAACCCAGCGTAACATCAGCGAGTTTGGATCTCGATGCACTCAAGAGTGAGATACCTCTATGACCAGCATTTGCGACACAGGAGATCAAAGTTGCTAAAATTATATCCAGTTGTGAAATATATATATATATTTTTTTTTCAAGTTAAAGTTGCAATATTTATTGTGTGTCTTCTTGTAAAATCTTAATTGATCATCTAATCTCGCTCTCTCTTTGTATCTTCTTTCAAATCTCAATTTAAAATCTAAAAATCTAAATTTTTTTATGTAACTTCATGAGGACTGTAATTTTCAAGGAGTTTATAATCCCAATTTTTCTGATGACGGTTCTTAGGCGGATATCCTAGGCAGCCAGTTAACAACCCCTACGGCGCCGGCGGGTACAACCAGCCTAGCCAGGGCTACCCGTCCTACAACAATCCTTCTCCCGGCTACGGTGGCCACTCGCCCTACGGTCAGGCTTACAATCCGTCCTACGGCGGGCATTCCCCCGGCGGTTACGGCGGGCATCCCGGCGGTTACGGCGGGCAATCCGGCGGTTACGGTGGGCATCCCGGCGGTTACGGTGGGCAGCAACCGTCCTACGTTCAACCTGCCATTCAACAGGCGCCGGCGCTCACCGTCCTGCAACCGAGCCGACCTGGCATCGGCCAGCTGGCCAAGGAAGCGCTGATCTACTCCAGCGTGAGCGCAGGCGTGAGCGCGGCCGTCAACAGATTGCTACCGGGTGGCATCTACGGGCACAGTCCGGGATACGGCAGCGGCGGCGCCGGCGCCGCGGGCGGTAGCCGCACCGAGATCACATATAATAATTATTACAACAATGGGTCGAGTCCAGCTAACGGGGAAGCGCCCGCGGCTCCGGCGAATAATAACGCGGCTGCGTCCGCTAATTTGAACGCACCCAGCTCGGCAACGTCAGCGGTTCAGCCGCCACCGGAAGCGGAGAAGAAAGCTGAAGCGCCCAGCAATGCCAACGCACCCAGCCCTCAGGAAGACGGCAAACCGAGCCCGCCGAAGTATCCGATTTCTAACGAGGAGGTGAAGAAGTTGTCGGAGAGACTCTTCGAGGCGGATAAGAACAACGCGTACAAGTACGTCACCGTGAACCTGCAGGGACAGACGAAGGAAGACGGCACCGGGGATGACGCTTCTCTACCGTAAGTACTTATCGTTAGTTAGAACCGTCAGTTCGACTGGCTCGTGCTATCTTCACCTTGAATGAAATAATTGGATGGAATAATTCCGCGCATCGAGAGTTTCAATGACCTCATTCTGTTATAATTTCAGCCTACTGGACGTCAAACCGGAAGCGTATGAAATCCCGACGATTAAAAGCCTGTTGGCGTTGCACGACAATTACGAGATAGACGTTAAGACGAAGGAGACCGTCACGCCCGATGAGCGAAAGGAGGAAGCGGAGCTGCTCGACAGGTTCTTGGAGACCGACGTGTTTAAAGCGACGATGAAGTACCTGGCCGACGAGGCATTCATTCCGAACGACGAGTACGAGTTCAAGGACACCCTGAAACGTATCTGGTTCTCGCAGTTCCAGCGAGTGGAGGGAGAGCCGTCCAGTTCCGGCTTCGAGGCGGTGTTCGTCGCGGAGAAGCTCGACTCCTACATGATCGGTCCGCAGAATTGGATTTACTTCGCCAAACAGGAGTCGCAGAAGAATCTCGACTATCGCGGATACATAAACGATGTCAAATTAGCGGACGTAAGCAAAGCCACGCTCACGTATTTGAAAATTTAGCTTATGTGTATTTATTATACGGATTTTCTTATCCTTGCAGAAGGGAGAAGCTATCAAGGTACGCTCAGCGTTCAATGTACCTGACACGAAACATTCGGTCACGACCCTTCTCGTCGGTCTCTCACCCGAATTGGAGATGGCTCTTTACACAGTGTGCTTCTACCTGCGTCCGAACGACGTTTGTCCGATTTCATTGGGCGGAAAGGACGTCAATCTGGTTTCTACCAGATTCAACTACTTCGGCAAAGATATTTTGATCGCCGGTTTTATCGCGGGGTGAAATCTGGAATAGAGCTAAAAAGCCCTTTTGAGATACTTCATAAGTTGCGTGATTTAAGTAGACCTAAGAAGAACGTTCGGACAAATCTTAAATCAAAATAATTTTTAGAACGAAATTTTTATGCTTATATACATATTGCTTTTAGTTTAATATACCTATATTTATCCAGCATGATATTTTAAGACAAATTTCATTCTTTTATCCATCTGTGTATCGAATATGTACAAACTTGTTAGCGAGGAAGATATACCCATGCATGATCTCCATGTATCTCTCTCTTTCTCACGAATCACGTATAAACTTATCTTTATTGTAATAAAAACGAAAGGGACACAACTACGATGCATACCTGAGGTATCCTGGCGCTCCTTTTTCCTAATTCCGAAAATTCCATCACAGGTATTATGGTCGGTCGTCCGTGTGCACATCGATTGGGAAATTTCGTGTGCTTCAATAATTTTACAAGACTCGTACACTGCTCCAAAGTTAGCTTGTCGCCGAATTTAATGGCACCTGAAAAAAGTTCCAAATATGTAATAAAAGAAAAAGTAGGTTTGTTGCAGGAAAATCTGCAACGTTTCGAAATACAGCAATCGTCTTTGATATATAATTGATATAATATAATAATTATTATTATATTATTTGTACACATATGTAATCATACATAACAATATATATATTTTTTATAAAGCTATCTGACAAATACCATGGCAAGCCTCTGATGCTATAGCATTATGAATAGTTAACGGTAATGCGTTTGCTTGACTTGTTATACTGCGAGTCTTTAGCACTTCGTTTAATAAACTACGGATTCTTGACAATATTTTCTCACTGTTGCAGGGATCAGTATTCGTAACTAAACATTGCGGTATTGTGCGTATCAATAGTGTGTTTTCCTTTGACGATCCCAAACTTATGCCGTATTTCCTCAACAACATTTTATTGCGTTGAAGTAAATTGCACATTTCTGTAGGAAATTCCATGGGTAGAGGATCACGCAAGTTAACAGAGAGCAACTCGCTCTCGTTCTGCACGTTGTATTCTAAATAATAAAAATAATAATTATAACTAAATACTTAGAAGAAGATCTACAATTAGTACGTATCTCACATATATTTCCATACTCAATTAATTAAAAAATTAATTTAATTTAATATAGGTATCATTTATATAATTTTTGAATAAACTATTCAGCTAAAAAGAAACATTATTTCTTATCTTCTAAGAAAATATTATAATTATTTACTAAGAAGTAAATTTTCGTAACGTATTCTTTCATGGACGGCATGTTGATCGACCATTAATAGAATCTTCATTTTATCGTACTCCATCCACGCGGCGATAAATTCGTTATTAACTTGATTAATGATCTACAGGAAAAATATATTCATCAAGATAGCTCTCAGATAATTTATTGCTTTGAAAATTTACACACGTACTTTTATGCACTCTAATGACGCTCGCGACAATTTAAATTCGCATAATTTTTGCTTTAACTTGCAAGGATGTACAGCTGTTTGTTCATGTTGCCAGTTTTCTGTAACTAGATAAGTAAATAAATAAATATTTATTTATATAATTACTTATATAATAATAAATTAATTATATACATGTAGCGCGCTAATTTATTACTCCGTCTGAAAATTACTTACACGGAATCGTATCATTAGGACTGTTAAAGCATTTTACGTTTGTCAATTTAACATTATAACGTTGAAGACCATACAACTTTCGTGGCAAAAAATCAAACTGATTGTTAGATTCGATAAACTGTCGGGAACGTATATCATTTTCGGAAAATGTATTATTCATATTTCTCGCAGAATCGCGTTTCTTGTTATTCGTGTAATAAGTCCAGTTCGACCATTCGGAAAGAGGAGAAATCATGTTTATACAATTATTGTTACTGTCATTGTAATAATTGTAAGTTTTATCAGATTTAGTACAATTATCTGTTAAATTCATGGAACTTCCTTGCACTTTGTCAACGTCATTATGCACCTTTTCTACAACTTCACACAAATTCGTTATAGAAGCAATTCGGCAATGAATGCTATTTAATACATTATTTCTCCTACTTTCAACATTATCATCTCTATGCTGTTTGTTGAAAGAATCGGTTATAATTGTTGGTGAAATTTTTTTTCTTTTAAAGCCAGTCATAACGACTTTGTTTCTTATCACCAAAGACGAAACATTTTTACGTCCGTTGATATTGCAACTGAAAACCGATCTTTTTGACTTCAAATATATCTGTTTCAACAGCTGCGTTTTACATAAATAAGGAGTAACTGCAGAAACCGCAGCTTCTTCTGCGAGACATTTGAAGGCGCAGTTCTTAATGGTATTTAATATCTTCTGCATATCGTAAAACATGATGTATCTTTCCCCATTTTCGGTAACAAACGTGAATTCTTTCTGCGAGAATGTAAGAAAGAACAGGATAAACATATTTTTATCGTATGGATCGCGCGCATTGGATTCCTGGTCGGAGAACAAGTTGAGCCTTTCTTTGAAGGCGATTTTAATCAACCTCAGGATAAGTGGGCAACAGATCGGTCTGTGATTTAGAAATATCCATTGCATCGCGTTTTTATCAGACAATCCCACGTAGCCGTGATAATTCGCGATGAATTCGGGACTGCATTGTACCGACCATACGCGATTCAATGGCAGATCTTTCCCAAACAGTGTTCTCAGGACTTCGACCGAGCTGTGCGGCTTTGCAATTCTCAGAACAACCTTCTTCCGGTCGTCGTCTCTAATCGAAAAGGACACCTGATTGCATCAATATAAAGAGAACATTATGAGACAAATTATCCCGACTGATATGATCGCTACGATAAATTAAATCGTACTTCTAACTTTGTAACAGCTATAGCCGCGATAAGAGAACAAATGGTAGATATATCCCACTTTTTAAGCGGCGGTATTTCGTGGAAGCCGTAGATGGACACCGTCGTGCCGCACGAAGGTCTCTGCTCTATTTGCTTTAAATTGGGCGCAAATCCCACCTCGAACGCCTTTAAGAAAAATAATACGAAAGACAACTGTCTTAAAAAGGTCTCAAATAACATCCATTTTTCAAGATCTTGAATAAATTTAAAATTAAATTTAATATAATTTAATTTAATTAATTATATTATTTA